TTTGGAAAGGGCTCGGAGTATGAGGCTGAATGCGCGAGTAAAAGTTTCGGGCGAAGCGATTAATATGGCATGCTATCTCATTAACAGGTCTCCATCTACAGCCATTGAATGCAGAGTTCCTGAGGAGGTATGGACAGGTAATCCGATTGACTATTCTAGTTTGAGAGTATTTGGTTGTCCAGCCTATGTTCATGTACAAAGTGGACATCGTTCCAAGTTAGACTCAAAGTCTAAGCAGTGTATCTTTCTTGGCTATGAGAAAGGTGTGAAAGGATTCAAGCTATGGGATCCTAATGCACGGAAGACCGTGGTTAGCAGGGACGTTGTCTTTGATGAATCTGACATGGTGAAGGCAAATAACAGTTCACATGCAGATGGCAGAAGTGAAGAAGGATCTACTGTGCAGGTGGAGTCAGGTGAACCAGAAATAGCGGGAGGAAGGGAATCATCCAGTAACTCACCAGAATCACAGGAGACAGTAGAAGATACCTACACCATCGCAGAAGGTAGAGGAAAATGTACTCACAAAGCACCTGTGAGATACGGGTTTGAGGATATGGTTGCTTATGCCCTCACAGTAGGTACATGCGATCCATCTTCCTATCAGGATGCGATATCTGATGCTGATAGTGATAAATGGATGTCAGCTATGATGGAAGAAATGGAATCCTTACAGAAAAACAGGACTTGGAAGATTGTGGAGAAACCTAAAGGGCGAAAGATCATTGGGAGTAAATGGATCTTTCGCAAGAAAGAGGCAGTGTCTGAGAATGAGCAGGTAAGGTACAAGGCTAGACTTGTAGCTAAAGGGTATGCACAGAAGGAAGGGGTGGATTATAATGAAATATTCTCTCCAGTAGTAAAGCACACTTCCATTCGGGTTCTACTTGCCTTGGTAGCCAAGTTTGATTTTGAGCTGGAGCAACTTGATGTGAAGACGGCGTTTCTTCATGGAGACTTGGAGGAACAAATTTTCATGGAGCAACCTGACGGGTTCAAAGTGCCAGGAAAGGAAGATCACGTTTGTCTGCTTAAGAAATCACTTTATGGCCTTAAGCAATCTCCAAGACAGTGGTACAAGCGTTTTGACTCTTTTATGGTGCAAATTGGCTATTCGAGAAGTGAGTATGATTGCTGTGTTTATTTTAAAGTGTCAGATGATAATTCGATTATTCTTTTGATGCTTTATGTTGATGACATGCTCATTGCTGCTAAGGATATGCATAATATTGTCTCTTTAAAGTCCTTGTTGAATAATGAGTTTGAGATGAATGATCTTGGTGCTGCTAAGAGGATCCTTGGTATGGAAATTCATAGAGATAGAAGTGCAGGTAAACTCTGGGTATCTCAAAAGAGGTATGTTGAAAAGGTACTTGAGCGTTTCAACATGAATAAGGCTAAACCAGTGAGGACACCATTAGCTAGCCACTTCAGGTTATCTGAACAGCAATGCCCCACAAAACATGAGGAGATTGAGGAGATGACTCGAGTTCCTTATGCTAGCGCAGTTGGGAGTCTCATGTATGCTATGGTGTGTAGCAGGCCAGATTTATCTCATGCAGTCAGTGTTGTTAGCAGATACATGAGTAATCCAGGGAAGGAGCATTGGAATGCAGTCAAGTGGATCTTTAGATATCTGAGCGGGACTGCAGACTTGGGTATTATGTTCAGTCGCGACGGAGGTTCGAAGGAGTTAGCGGGATATGTTGATTTAGACTTTGCCGGTGACCTAGACAGGAGGAGGTCTACTACAGGATATGTCTTCACATTAGCTAGTGGACCTATCTCATGGAGGGCGATGCTCCAGTCCACAATTGCATTGCCTACTACAGAGGCAGAGTACATGGCAGTTATAGAAGCTGCTAAGGAAGGGCTCTGGTTGACTAGGTTGGTTCGTGAGTTGGGTTTAGAGCAAGGAGGTGCAGTGTTACATTGTGACAGTCAGAGTGCCATACATCTCGCCAAGAATCAAGTGTTTCATGCAAGAACAAAGCATATAGATGTGAAGTTTCACAAAATCAGGGAGCTTGTGTCAGATGGCAGCATTCACTTGAGGAAGATTCACACGAATAGCAATCCTGCAGATTGTTTTACCAAGCCAGTCACTATTGAGAAGTTTGGGTCCTGTTTGGGCTCAATTAATATAACTCGCTGTTGAAGGTGAGGGACGCACTCAATGAGTGCGGGAGTGTACCTCTTATGGAGGTACGGGGATGAAGACATCTATATTTCATATTCTTTCACAGGTGGCTTTACAGAATCCAAGCCAAGGTGGAGATTGTTGAGGTTGATGTCTTGTATTCTGTTATCCAAGAGATTATGAAGCGGTTCCGAAAGGCCTCCTAACGACTGAACAGCACGGGGGTCCTGCTCCCCGGTGAGCGGGTGGGGGTCCGGGGGGGGCCGCCTCGGCGGGGGTTGCTGGGGCAGCGCCCCCGGGCCGCCAGAGGCGTTTTATGTTCAGTCATAGAAGGATCTCTATGGGAAAGTTAAATGTTTTAAGCTATGTGGGCAATTTTGTAATTTGTGCCATATATGGTTTTGCTATATATTTAGGGCGAAACAGATCTCTAGATAGAAAGAGGAGGGAGTGAGAAAGAGCGGTTGTACACTTTTCTACGTTATTAGTGAAACAGATCTCATCTCCCCGTGGACGTAGGTAGGCGAAACATCTCCTCTGCTGAACCACGTAAATTTTTGTGTTGTGCGAATTTTCATTACTTTTCTTGCATCGTTGATAGGATCGAATTAAATATTCGACAGGGGATGTGCTCAAATCTCCATATATTACTCCAAAACTCTGGTAAGCAAGATGGAGGGTTGTCGTGTAGAACTTCTGTTGAAGTTTGCAAGTATGAAAGGTATCATTTTACTAACATCATGAATGAGAGTAGAGGATAGATAAGCAAAATTAACCGTCAGAATATTGGAAGAAAGGAACACTCTGAGCTCCATAAAGTTAGTGCAGCGAAAAGCATGTTGACAACAATAAATTGCAAAGCGAATGGAGAACACCAGAATTAGTGAAGTCCTATAAATCATAATGCGCAGCCAACAAGGATAATGTGGAGTCACTTAATATAGCGAAACCAACTTCACTAATAGGAGAGAGTGAGCTAGTAGTTAAATTCCCATACCCAAACACCAAGGAAAAACAGGGAAATATTCCTCTAAAAGGGCTCGATAAGAAAGGCACATACAAGTCGAGATTCCTTGGACGCAGAGTTTGGGCCGAGTGTCATCTTGCATTGCTGCTGCAGTTTGGATGAGCACCTGCTGTTACTATTGCATAACATCCCTTGATCAATAAGGCTATTGGGTTTGGTCAGCAACTGTTGCACCTCTAACTATGATTGTCTTTCTGAAAAGAGATCCTTCATTGGAGATTTGTACTGCCAACCAAAGTGAGACGAAATTTCAATGTAAAATACTCTCTTTCCCTCTTTCTTTCTCTCTCTTGTGTCAAAAGATAGACACTAGATGACAGCAATTGTGAAGACAGGAAGTCTAAAAACATAGTTTTGGATATTTACAAAGACGGTAAATCCTAAGAGAAGAGGACAAAAAGAGAAGGCATATAAACTCGAATTTGCTGAGATCTATTACACTTAACATCAGCACAGAATGCCGCGAGAATCTGATCATGGCAGTATCTTTCAGAATTTAACTTCAGGCTGCTTGAAGTTACCTCGGTTAGATATTCTCAACCTGAAACTTAAGCTGTTATGCGAAAGGAAGAACATATTTTAAGGACTTTTAAAAACTTCATGTTAAAACAATGCGAGACCCTTGACAACCTCAACCGCCTCTCAATTCTCTGACGAAAAAACAAAGACAGACGTTCCTATGTGGTCAATTCACATATTAAAGAGTAGCAATGGGCATTTAGATTACTACTTAAACTATACGTTCTGTTTCTTTTCATTTTCTTGCATCTACAAGCTAATGGAAGTTGCAGCTCGTTTTGGGGTGAACAGACTAGAGATTCAGTGAATATGAGTATTTTTCTTGTTGGAAAGATCTTACCTATGCGAATTAATTATGTGCATCAGTTTGTACATTACTAGAAAATTATTATGTGGACGTTGTCCTTCGTCGTTTTGCAGTCAAGGAGGACAAGAGAGAAAAAAACACGACTTTGCTTTGGTGGGGATTGAGGGAAACCCTGTTGGTCTGATAGAAACGTGTGGCAATCCAAATGCCACTGCCTTGGTAATTCATGATGATTATTGTCCCCTCCAAACGGCAATTTGTGTTGTGTACGGAAAAAACTCCATATGAAGCATCGCACGACAACATTTCAATCCAGGCGATGCTATGTGTCTGAGAGCTAAATGGAGGACCAAACCGATCCCCACATATGCTCATTCACTAAAGAGATATCAAGGTAAATCTAATCCTTCTAGATTATTGTTCCTGAAGAAAATACTCCACATTCTTTAACCTAATTTAGGTTTTTGCCGTTATTAGGAGGGAAGAGAAGAGACCCGCAAGTAAATCTGTAGCCGATGCTAACAGTTTATTTGTAATTCCAGAACAATTCGTGCAAGGAGCATGTCTGCATTAGATAACAGGTGATCAAAACTAACGCCTCAAAATGGATGACGATCCAATAGAGCGTGAAAATTATCACATTTATCACCAAGTACTAATTAAACTAGCATTTTTAAAATGTGATGACAGACTGTGAAGAGATCAAAGGGCTTCTCAATGTCATGCAGAAAATGATCGCGAAGAGGAGCATGCTCATTGTCTAGTGTATAACTTTCTTGCTTGCTTCTTTTGCTCGACTTGTATTGACATCAAGGACGTTTCCAAATCGAACTGGAGTTGAAGGATCTTTTTACCTTCCATTAACCCAAGAGTGATCCCAATGGAGGATTTGTTTAAGTTCTGTTTCTCTCTATTACGAACCATTTGGAGTAGAAAGGATGATGTAAATGTGATCTATGATCATTTTTTGAAACCTTTACCATGAGACGAAATCAAAGAGAGACTGATGAGTGCAAAATAATCCCAATCAAAACCAGAATTTTGGGACATGGTCAACATCAGCTATTTAAAGTCATGCAGCACGCTGATAGATAGCAATAGGCATCCCGTCCTACATTGCTTCTCGTAGAGCATTATCCCTACGAGGAAGCTCTCAAGTAGAAGAATTGTCATTGACCTGTTCATCATCAGAAAAGTCTTTGTACTCTGGCCGGCCCTTCATCTCCTGCTATCGCCTCAATGGCTTCTCTCCCGATGACTCTTGCCATCTGTGTCTCAACTTCTATACTTATGCTCTTCCCTTCCACCATTGCAGCTATCTTTGTGCCCATTGCTTCTCCTATAACTAGGGTCATCCCTCCTTCCTCGTCCATCACCATCTTCATCTCTAGTTCGCTTCCTAGAATCTCCATACCCTCTCCTATCTGCATGGTGATCATCCTTGGGATCTTTTCTCTTAGCATTTCTGCCACCTTCATGGCCATCATCATAAGCAGCACTCTTTCTACTATAGTTTTCATCACCTCTCCTATCTTTGTGATTCTCAATATCTGCTCTTCCTTTTTTATAATCTCGATAATCACCTCTCTTGCCATCTCTGTCTCCGTGACTCTCCACATATTTCTCTCGGTCTCTTTGCTCTTCCGGATAATCCCTGTCAATTCTTCTCCTACCAGCTTCACTACCTTTACCGTCTCGACTCATTTCATTCTCTCTATGCTTACTTCTTTCGCTGTGCTTATGCTTATTAACAGAGTGCCTTCTCTCTTTATCACTGAATTTTGTTTTTTCTGCACTTTGCCTGCTCATCTTATGGCTATCATCCCAGTCATCTCGTCCTCGCCTTTTCTTTCCATGACTTGGACTTTTTGGTGCATCTTCATCAAAGACCATTTCATACCTAAAAGCGGAATTACACTGTCAGAATCACACATGCAGAGGCACACAAATGAATGCCGGCCACGCACAAAAATCCACACACACACATTGAGAGAGAGAGAGAGAGAGAGAGAGAGAGAGGCACTGCCAGGAACAAACCTAGAGTCATCTCCACCCCTCTGAGCGTTGTCCTCCTTCAGAATGTACTTTGAAGGTGGCTGTCTAGTGGAGCTGGAGCTTCCAGTACATTCCCTGGCCATGTGATCAGGAGCCCCACATTTAAAGCAACCTTTTCCTACAGTCAATAATCAAAGAGTTCTTTATTATAAGAAATAATCAAAACAACAGCGACGTTAATTATCATACATCCACATTAAGCATAGAATACAACCAACATTAAGCATAGTCCCCATATAATCTAGATCTCGTGCATGCAAAAATCGTACTTGAATGAAAAGCTAAAAAAGTATAAGCTTCCATAAGCAAACACAAGCAAGCTGCCAATCTGACTACTGAGTCGCATATTTCGTTGGAGGGAACAAAAGAACATTCAACATGACATGTTTGACTAGATCATCATAAAACAAGGCTCAATTTTAGGCCCACATAACCTGCAATTGCTAATTAACAGATCCAAGCTGACACATTTTTGAAGCAGCTCAGCATGAAACTTAATTTATAACCTCAAATACTCCTTACGGCACGTGCTTGTTTGACCACTAAAAGGCTATTTGCAATTTTTCATGCACTACAATGAATACACACTGTCCTATTTTCTCTAGAAATTCTGCCTTGACACATTTAACTCGGTGAAAAACCACGGTCTTAAGACCTTGCCACTGCTGACAACTCCTAAAGTTGCATATCATAAACTACCAACCTTACCCACAGAGAACACGTACAAGTGTTTTCCTCTGCCATGGCCACTTATAGAGGAAATGCATCAATTCGTCCGCCAGCACACAAAGTTGGACGTAAACATAATTTTCACCATTCAAGAAAATTATCGCCTGAAAGCAGTGAGAAACTCCAGAGTTTGAGTGCATCCTTACCTTTAGCCGCTTGGCTATCTTTACGTTTGTACTGGGACCAAAGTTTTGCAACACTCTGGCTAAAATCCACCTTTATCCTCCTGTCATCAATCAAGGCATTGTCCATCTGCCATGAAATATCAGACAAACAAAACAGATGCGTCACAGGCAACAACTTATTTGAGAAATTAGGGAAAACTATCTAAATCATAGAGGATAAATGATGCCACCACTTTTAGTTAGAATTAAAAACAATCAAAATTAAGAATGTAATGAGCCAAGCTGCCCATCCCAAGATCAGGATAAAAAAATTTTAAGTTCATGCTTTTCTTAGGTGATCTCCATAATATCCTCTTTCCCCTTCATTTGCTCTTCCAGAATGAGCCATTTTTATATATTAAATACTTTCTTGGTATATGAGTTATAAAGCATGTATATCTTTTTTTTCTATGATAGCAGTCGATTGTTGCGGAGGCATCTCCAAAATGAAGTGAAAACCATGAAAAGATTAGCGAAAAAAAGAAAAGAAAAGGAAAACCAACTAGTAGGTTTCACATTTGTATAAAAACATAAAGAAAGTTACCCACAGGATAAGCTGTAAAGGAGTCATGTTACTCACAACATGCTTGAGCTTGATAGCCATATTACTCGAGCTCAGCTGGATAGTTTTTGAGTTTGAGTAGCTCGAATAATGGACTGAATCAGCACCACTCAAACTTGAGTAGCTCCTGAGCCTAATCTAATAATTAAAATTTACATTTTTTTCTTTTTGCTTCTATTAATTTGTTTATGTATTCTAGCATTATGGCCCACACCATGCACAGGTAGAGTTCTTTTTTCAAAATTCCTTTTCAGTTTAACTTTTCAAGGTATTCTTTATTACAAGTAGAAAATTTACCTCAAATCAAGTTTAAATTTTCACTTTTCAAGGTCAGAGGAGCTCATATAAGCAAGATAATAGCAACTTGCTCCGTACACCTGGGGAACAGCATTAATGCAAACACAGATTGTTTCATGCCCAAAAGTTCGGTTCTTTTAAGCACAAAAATCTGCATACTGTCATAGATGCTCGAAATAGGAGGCTAGACATGGCAACAGAGTAAGTCAAGCCAGGTTTAAGATAAGTACCGATTAAGGGCCTACTGAAGCAGATGTAGGCAATTGTTGATAAATGTTCTATTTTTGGCAGAAAACTAAGCGGATCTAAGGGTATGTTTGTTTCAATGAAAATAACTTCCATGAAACAATTTTCCAAACTTTCATGTGTTTGGTTCCTGAAAGTGGATAACCAAAAGTTTTACGTCAAGGAAAACAACTGCAGTTAATATTGAGGAAAATGATTTCTCCATCCTAAAAAGAAGAAATCATTTTCCCGAGCTCCTTTCCACACGGAATGATGAGCTATTCTCACATGAGGTTTTATAAACACTGAGAGGTTAACTTGGTTAATTATTTGAATTTTCTATTTTCTTGGCATCTTTTTTTAGGTTGCCTTATTTAATAAAAAACTTGAAATTTATACTTCACATATTAGTAATATTTTGGACAAGGATCTCAATATCCTCTCAGTGTCTTATATTGGGAACCTAATATAATCATAACGGAGAGAATAACTTTTTAGTAAGATCTAAACATTGAAAAGTTTTTTCCGTACACCACCAAACAACTGAAAACTAATCATTTTCCTTGAAAATAATTTTCACTAGAAACATTTTTCTCCATTAAGCAGTTTTCCGCTAAACAAACCCAACCTAAAAAATAAGTATCCTCAACCTCTCATCCACTTCATCTCATTCCTCTTGTTGCTCTTGAAACTGGCCCTTCAAGCAATGACTTCACCAAGACGAAGGACAAAAGTCTCAAATGCCTTTGATATAAGAAGAAGAGAAAACAAAGAAAACATCATTCGCATAGTCCTAGCCAATGACCCAATTTTCTTTTGGGGCTAGAGTAAATCCTTAGCTCTTCAAAGTTTTAATGCAGTCTGCCTGCTTTAAAACTGCATGAGACCAAAGAGTTAAATTTGCTAAAGTGGAATCACAACCATTGAGGAATATGACCCCGTTGCGACAAGGAAAGTAAGTGACATCACATAGGATCACCTCAATTTTTTATAGACAACTATTGGCCAGACGGCTTTGATGAGGACAACTATAGCATAGATTGAGAAGCATTTAGGAGGTGTCTGCATAGATTTGGAATGCTCAAGAAGTGTCAGGGTTGTTCTCATACTCTGTCCTTGTAAAGAGAACCATCAATCTGCGGATGAATAGAGAAACTCCAATTCTTTAAAGAGTACACATGCCGAGAATGTGTCACGACTTCTCATGAACCTCATATCTCTGTACTTTAGGGAAACTGAAATTAGTTTTCCAAATTCCACCAAGTCAAGGACGGAAGTGGTGAAACTTTTGAAGCATGGAGATGCTGCAAGATCATTTTGAGGTGTATTTGAACAAAGCTCTAGTGGCTGAAGGCTCCAATGATATAAGAACCACTTCTCAATATGGTTTCCAATTTATAAATATTGTGTAATGAAGCATGGGCGGATGTAAAATGGAGAGGAAGGAGACATTTTGGTTGGCAGAGGTGTTAGAATAATTAAATATTAAACTACGCCTTTATCTAACAGCTTAAGTGTATTTGAACAAAGCTCCAATGATATAAGAACCACTTCTCAATATGGTTTATAATTTATAAATATTGTGTAGTAAAGCATGGACGGATGTAAAATGGAGAGGAAGGAGACATTTTGGTTGGCAGAGGTGTTAGAGTAATTAAATATTAAACCACGTCTTCATCTAACAGCTTAAACTTTTAGAACAGTTGGCAGTGGTCTCATCAATATCTTACATGGTATCAGAGCTGGAGGTCCTGAGTTAGAATCTTTCCAGACCCCATTTGCCTCCCTAATTAAATATGCCATGCTTAGTACTAGGCAAAAAGACCAGACTAAGCGTGAGGGGGAGTGTTAGAGTAATTAAATATTTAACCATGCCTTCATCTAACAGCTTAAGCTTTCAAAACAATTGTCAAGATAATCTCTTAATCCACCAATGATACGTATAAATTTTTTTAACAAGATGGGTGGTGATCTATTGGGCTTCTGAATAACCAATTCTAGGGTCTCTTTCAACAATTACCATGAAGGAGCAGCTTCATTTCTCTTGGAATCTGACAAAGTTTGGAAGAATGTAGCTATATATTTTGTTATGATATAGATTATGCTAAGATGGAATTCTTTCGGCTAGAGAGCTTTGCCCTGCACAATTTGGTAATATTCCCACACAGGGATGTCGTCCTGGAAAGCTATTAGGCAAAGTTTGAGTTCACACAACAATGACCCTTCTTTCATTTGGAAAGGCTTCTTTTGGAATGACCATAAATAGTATCTCAACTCTGAAGGACACAAATGCTAGCAGATGTTTTTATACGGAATTGAAGCAGATCCATAGACCCTCATGATGTTCACCCTTCTCGGGATGAGATGCCCACAGATTTAAATTTTAAGCTCCCTTTGCTTGGTTTTTCAAGGGAGGAAATGAAATGCGTGGAAATAGAAACTAGAAATGACAAGGAAACATTCTCATCAACTCTCTTACAATATCACAAATAAAACAAAGAGAGGAACAACACTGCCTTAATATATAAGAATAAAGAAACTAACATATTCACGAAAACAACAGCCACATACAGAGAAATAAAATGCACAATTGCATGAAAACCCCCAAATAAGAAACAAAAGTTAAACAAAGGGAACATATAGGATGGAAATATGGAAAGTTGCACAAGTGTTTAAATCAATGTACCTTAAAATATGCCTGCTCACATGAATCCTTGTTCTCGAACTCTGGCAAACGAACATTAACATGATTACTGTGTGTTCAACTTTTTCCTTTGTCAGAATCGTCATGTGACACAAGACCAGTAAAACAAGACGTGAACCAAATAACGGGATCTTTGGCTTATGAGAGATTAAAGATCTTTATAAGACCTTACCAAAAAAAAAAGATCTTTATAAGACATCGTTATATCCTCTAAAATTTTCATAGTGGACAAACTTAATATCAAATTTCACATAACTATCAGATTTTCTTAAACAAGATAAATTTCATCTATGGTCACTGAAGTGCATATTTTGCCAAAAAAAAAAACAAAAAAGAAATCGGTTAGATTCCGATCAAAGTACATTATTTGCAAAAGGTCAAAGTTTGCGACTTGATTGCGACAAAACTTTACTAATCACCGATGCAATTTACCATTCTTGTACATACAGACCATATATTATCTATTTCGAGCATGATTTAAAATGGAAATGAAATTAGTGGGTGAAGCAGCTAGATTTTTTTTTATACGCAGCCCCTTTTATTCAGAATATTGGGGAAAGAAGTGGTTATAAACCCAACGAAGGATAAAACGAGAGAAACTTGTCCACGATAATTTCGACACATAAGACAAACGACTTTGGATGCTCCAATGAGATGTTACTATAGGACCAAGATTTGGGTTGAAAGAGTTAAAGAAAGTATGAAAAAGATGTGGAAAGACATGATGAAAAAAGACGAAGATTATGACTTCACACAACATAAATCACAAAAAGTAGAAGGATTTATATAGCAGACCAATTTAGTAAGATAAGGCTTAGTTCTTTTGTCATATGCAATCCATTTTATGGTCGATACATTTTAAAAGCAAATTAATTGTATACATAAGTATAAAGCTGATGCAAGATAGCTGAAATCTTGTGAAAACTCCTCATAACTAACATCGATCAATAAAGAACTTAATATTATGACCCATTTCTCATATTGTTCATTCGCAAACTTTGTTTCTTTATCATAATTTCTCATATCAACAGGTTATCTACCATCTAATTCGTGCTATTCTTCAGAAAGTCAATTAATTTTTCTCAGCGTAGAAAGTCAAATGAAGAAAGACAATTCCAGAACAGAATAAACTGACCTATGAATGCATAGCATAAACTATCTCCAGTCTTAAAATCACGGATGACATCAGCCCTGTCAAGGTCGTCATCATTAGCTTTGTAATAAGAATCAGCTGTCCAAAGCAACTGCAAGAAGAGATGAGCAATAAAAGTAGAACAGGAAAGTGTACTTACGATACCACTGTTCCAAATCGTGAAAAGATTGTATGCAAGTCCTCATCCTGCATCAAAAGTAAAAGATTTGACGGTGAATTCAGACGTAAGGTGTAGTGATAAGCAACAACCATAAAGAAAAGGAAGAAGAAAAATCCATCCATCAGTCAATAATAATGTGTAGTAAAAAAAATTTCAAAATGACTTTCAGAAATCACCCCCTACTAGGCAATTAGCAAAACTCACTTCGGTGACTGGATTCAGTTTACAAACAAAGAGCACATTATCTGGAGGCTTTATCTCAGCATCAGGAATATCCCCAATCTGTAATGTAGATGAGACAGAAGAGGATTCTTTGTGAAGAAGATGAAGAGAACATCTGGATACAGAAGCATGAGAAAAACATCTCAGATTTACTTACACTCTCAAGCACAACTGCACTAGAGCGTGCTTCCTTAACACGAATTGCCTCCTCAAGCTGAGCCGGGCCTAGTTGCTCATCCAAAGGTACCCAATCATCTTCAAGTCGCACTTCATCAACCACCTGCTTCCGACATACATAAACAAACCATATGCTGTGAAACAAACATGAATCATTCTAGATAAACTTCTAGGAAGGGAAAAGAAAGGGCAGAGGAGACACATTAATTTCATGCCAGCGTTTCTTTTAGGAAACTTGGAACTAAAAAACACAATTGATTTACCTTACTTCTAGCTGTCATAGAGATAAGCCACTCATTGCATTTTATCATATATTTACTCTTTAAGTATGAATTTTGGCAGCATATTCAGAGCATTCTTGTCCAACTTCAATCTCTATCAATGTGATTAAAGAGATGCCAATTTTACAAAGAAGGTGGTGGCAATACATATACTAATGTATTATTCGAGCATTTAAAATGACAGAGTATTTGCGATCATATTTTCTTCTGAGGCTAACTGATAATAAAATCTTTAAGCAGTCAATACCTCATCTTTCGGCTTTCCTTCGGGGGAAGCATCAGGAATCAACTCAGCTAGCTGGGGAGGGTCATCAAAAGGATCATCCAGTATATATGTGTGCCTGATCCTGCTCAAAACAAAAGGAACCATACTGCAAATAAACAAAAGAGTGACACATAGTAATTCAATGAGCAAGAGAGTGGAATGAGAACGAACCTGATGTTTTTATAGGGTCTCCCCTTCTCATCTACATAGGCTTCATTAATCCTAGTCAATGTCTCAATTCCTTCTGCAACTTCACCAAACACCTAACAATGATGAATAATTTGTTGAATACCAAGCGCAAAATGATCAATGATGCTGACAGCCAAAATAGGCAACTCAACAAATAGGAAGCTTATTATGCAGATACGATATCACTTATATGCTATTCCAGTTTTCTTTTTTTATATTTACAAGTTTTTTCACTAAAATGAAGAAATCAATCTAAAATCGATAAGCAACAACTAAGCACACTTACAGCACACCAAAAGAAACATCAATAGAACAAAGTCCCCAGCCATATACACCATTCCATGTTTATAACCACATATAAATGCCCAGAATGCACAAAAGTAGTGGGTACATTCAACCATGAAATGACTTGACAAGACTCCCCTACATGTATTCAATAGAATTGATTGAACCAATAGGTAGAGACTCCAGGATGAACTAGATTCCAAATGGGTGTTTACTAACTGAAATTGCACGTGTCTATAGTCCATGAAGATGTAATAAAAGAGACACTTCCAGGTGATAAAGAAGCCTGATCAAAATTTTAGTTGTTGCAAAACCCAATCTAACTGCTGCTCCACTTAATTCCAACTATTCTAGTAATCTGTCTTAATGTCCAAATGAGTGGTTTGAGGAGAACATGGTCCCCGAAGAGGAAAGCTAGGGAAAAGTTAACCCTAAAAATTTCCATTTGGAACACTGCAATTTGTAAACGAACCTCATAGACTTGCATTACATAGTTCGCAAGAAATCAAAGGAGCATAATAAATATTTTATTAAAAGTTCGCAGGAAACGTATTAAAACGAATTCAATCAACTCAACACAACAAAAATCTGTTACAGCACAATGAGTCAACGAAATTACCACCTTCGTACCATATGGACTCTTTGTTTCGCACTTAGCTCATCAGGTTTCAGATCAACCATCTTCTCTTTCCATTACCAATGCATAAATAGGTCTACCATTCCTTTCTTTACTGAGCAATTGCTCTATCATTGTTTATCTTAGTCCGACATAAGCCCAATCCTTCTCACCAGCACATATACAAGACAGCTCCATGAACGACTAAGGGCGAATTTGAGAAACTCAAAAAACAGCGTCAGACTTGCAAAATCCTTTGAATGAAAGTCTTGATGTTTGAACAGATTATTTTAGAACCCTTTGAGCCCAAAACCTTCCTTTTCACAGCCTAATGTCCAAGGCAGCTAATTACCTGCTTTCTATTAAAAGAATTTGGGAGTCCAACATTATCCTAAATGGTCCTAAGCTTCTCCAATTTGTCTACCACAATATATCCTTAATGCAGCCAACTGCAAAGTCCCCGCATCTACTTTAATTCTAATCCTGTTTCTCACTCCTCTAGCCAAAGCAATACAACATTCTTCTTGCCTAACCTTAATTGGTCACATTTCACATACTACAACTGGCCTCGCTATAGTCCTCTAAGTAAAATACTGATTGTTTTGGGTCCTAAAAAATGTCAATTACCAGCTGTGATTTCCAATCGAAAGATCTTTCTACATAGCTACCTACTGAAGTTTGTGCATCCTTATTTATACCTCTTAGAAGTGACCATGTTTGGAGAAGCATTATGGAGCAAGTAGAGAAGACCAAGATAATAACTTAGGCTCCATAAAGAACATGAACGACTAAATTTAAGCGGTACGATCAACTGTGGAAAAAAAAAGCCATCTCATCACCCTCCATCTTAAACAGGATAAAACTATATATCTGCAATTTTGCGACTAAAACAATTAAAGGCATAGCATAAAACCATTCTAATATCTCTCCAACACCCCCCCCCCCCCCCTTCCCCTCCTTAACCACCAAACAAAAAAATTCCTTCAAGCTATAAGGAGTAAAAGTTTGTCCACATATTTGGGTGTAAAATTATCACTGCTGTAAACATTAAAGAATGAATTAAAAAGAAGTCAGAATCATAACAAAGATCAGAAATAATGAAGCTGGAAATGAATGATATGAAAAGAATAATTCTCATGGAACTCATGAATGATGATCAAGGATGGCCAGAAAAATCAAATCAGAATCTCACCGTGTGCTTTCCATCAAGATAATCCAAATCATCCCGCAATGTGAAATAGAACTGTAAAAGCGCAGGGTTAGTCGAAGCAGCATTTCGGGTGCACGGATGAAGAGTGAAACAACACTTCAACTTAAATTAACAATAAGTAGTCATTCTCTGAGCTTGTGAGTGCTCATACAGTTCTGATGAGATGTACAGAAAATGACTTAGAATTGAAAAACGTAGATAAAGCAACTGCATCGAAAAGTGCAACCAGCTGCCTCCTTCATATCTGGTACATCTCATTAACCAAATAAAACTCAACAACACAATAAAGTTACCTGAGAAGCATTGAGATTTTCTCCAGCACTTGCCATGGCAACCGTTCCCGTCTTGGAGTGTTTTAGATCAAGATGAATCTCGTCCATGAAAAAGCGGGCCTGATCACCATAGAGAAATCTGAAACAGAACAATTTGTGCCAGTTACATCGGGTGATTCATTCAAAAACATATCCGTCGCTATGAAAAGAAAATGTAAGAAGTGCTTCCTGATCTTCATTGACAGTCTTTATTGCTCATAAAAATAATCATTGAACTAAAAGAATATGTAGGAGGTCCTTCCTGCTCTTCATTGACAGTCTTAATTGCACAAAATAATAAAATTCAGTGTTTTAGATATTTATCATTGAACTGAAACGTGGGACAACACATATATTTACAAAATGCACTCAAAGAAGAACAATTTTGTTCTTTAATTCTTGTCTACTACACACGCTATAAAGGTGAAGAACTAGACTCCTTTTTTTCCCATGAGAAAATGAAATTGGAGATGCAATACGAATTTTTCAAGTTTGGATCATAGAAGTGTACGAAAGATCAGAAACTGAACAATCATAGCAAAAAGACGACAATGCAAATGTCACTAACTTATAAACGGAATCGCCGCCTGTTCCGGTCCCAGTGGGGTCGCCTGTCTGTGCAGTGAAATCCTTCTGTACATTGTGGAACAGACACCCATTGTAGTACTTGATCCTGCACCAGTTAGATAGCAACAGGGAGGGGGGAAGGGTCAATTAGGTGCTCAAAAAATTGCATCCCAAAAAGGCCAGAACAATCCTCAGAAGCCTCTACTCTTCAGCAAACAGATGGTGCGCGTGAATGGCAATCGTTCTCAATAGTGGGTTCACCTCCCGATTAATTTACTACTAGTCACCCAAAACATGAAAAACCGCCAATCACGCACACCCTGCTTCCCGAACAAGATATAGTACGCTACTATCAACCTTAGCAAAATTCGAAGGCAAAATGGGCGGGCTTTACAATGGCCAAAGGAGATTGATCGCGGGAACAACCTCGGGACAGCGAATGTGTCCGAAATTGATGGGATACTAGCTCACGGACGAAAGAGATGAGAAGAAGAAGAAGAAGAAGAAGAAGAAGAAGAAGCAGCAATCAAGCAGGGCAGTTACGTACCTGCAGAGCTTGAGGAAGTTCTTGCAGGTCAAGGGGCACCTATCGGCGTGCAAGTCCACCACTATGTCGCCTAAACTCGTCACGATCAGCACCGACATGTTCGCTCGGTCTCCCCCCCCCCCCCCCCCGCCCCCAAAAAGCTTCCGGTTCCGAGGAAGGATCGACAGAGACGGGGTTTTGCAGAAAACTGAAGGGAGGGGGAAAGAACAGGGAGAAGTCGAGGGGGAAGGGCCACTGGGCTGAACCAAGAATCCCATAGCCTGCATTCGGAAAGCCCTGGAAATAGAGCAGATCGGGCCACCTCTTCCACTTGAGAATAACAAACGAAGCCGAAGGGCTGGTTTGTGCAGATCTGGGCCTCGTTCCGACCAACATAACCAAAGAGATCTGGGCCTTATCTTTATGGATGACATGATAGACGTAACTGATGAGGGGTAAGCAAAACGACCGGGACCGAGCTGACTAGTTTTGGCGGTTCCCAATTCTTAAAATTTGGAACCGATGAATATCGAATCAGTTTTCGATTCCAGGTGTAGACCCATCCACCTAGACCATCCAAACCGAACTGATTTTTTCATTCTTATTGTTCCAAATTTTCAAAACTCTAATTCCCGCTATTTTCTTGCTCGGATTCAGTCACGCACGATCGTCGCTCACGCCTCTCACTCTCAATCACGCAGAGCTCATGTCTCTCTCGTGACTCGATGCCTCCCTAACGCCCACTCTTCTCTCGCGGCTTGATGCCTTTCACTCGTGTAGTCATTTAAATTGTGTAACAACACTTGCAGTTTTGCAAGGAATAGGGTAAAAAAAAAAGAGGAGATAGGGCCGGTTCCTAAACCCACTCGAGAATCAGCCCATCTTGAAACCGACTACCCCTGTAACTGATCATGTAACAGAAAATGTATGAGAACTTACGTTTCTCTTCTTCTTTTTTTTCTCTTGTGGACAATCCTATTGTTCTTATTAATAAACAAATTAAAACGCGCATACGAGTGCATTAAAAACAAAGGAAAAAAAAGGCTTACAGTGTACAGAGAATAAAATGTTTGAAGATTTCAAGGAATCTAAATAGTGGTGACCAATTGAGGAAACTTTCGTTAATATTTGGATGTCAAAGATTTTATAGAATCGATGATTATCTTCATCAATAAAATTTCGGTTTTATTCATTTTATCAGAACATATGGCTACCATTTTATCTTAATAAGAAGTTATGAGCACCCAAGAAACTTTCACGCAGAGATTTTGACGATAGAAATAAACCTCTAAGGAAAAAAATTTATGTCGAAGGAATTGTCTTTAGTTGAAGTTTATTTTTTAAAAATTGATTTTCCCTTATTTGGTTGTGAATGTGAAAATGAGAGGGAATTAGTTTTCCGATATTTGGATTTTACTTCCAAAAATATATTCCTTGAGGATAGATTAAATAATGCTAGTATAATATATAGAACATCAAGTGAATAATAAAAGATCGACGAATTTGAAATAAAGTACTTTTAATAAGCAAATATGGAAAAAAGAAGCCTCGAAGTCTAGTAATTATATGCATGAACATACATGAAAGTATTCGATTTCTTCATTCTTTTTCTCTGATTCCGAAATCGGTGTTGTAAGGAAGTGAAGCGGTAAGTCTAATTGACATTTTAATATATGCCTTCTGTGCACTCCACTTCAACGCCATGAAATAAAGTTTTAAAGGGCAGAATCACATATTGAAAGTATCGATATATGACAAATGAGAACATGACTTGTTGATTCATCAACGAGAACCGGAGAAAAAGAATTCTGGAAGCAATTGAGAGAGAACTCTATTGAAACCTCAGTTTGTTTTGCGGAAAATAAATAATTTGAAAAACATTTTCCTAAAAATGATCGCTTGTATTGTTTGAAATAATTAGCCAATGAAACATATTTTGATTACCGACATCAAATTATATCTAAACATTTTCTTGAACGATAAAAATATTTTTTGTTTATTTATTTTTATAAGCGTTACAAGAGATCGTTTTCAATTTTTTTTAAATCATTCATTTTTCGTGAAACAAACATACCATTGCAAGTGTTTTCTTTGACTATAAATACTTTTAAGTTAGAATTACTATTTTCAACGTCCCGAACTTCGAAAAGTCTAAAAAATGTTTTCTCGAAACTGTTAGAATAATTAAATAATAAATCACGCCATCATTTAATAATTTAAAATTTTTAGAATAGTCGGCAGTGATCCCACAAAATCTCACATTGTGTATCAAAGTCGGAAGTCCTGAGTTCAAATATTTTTAAAATAGTTGGTAGCGATCTCATAAACTCTCACTTAAATAAAGGCACCTTAAATTACTAATGATTTGAGTTTAGGGGAACGGTCCAAATAGTGGTCAATAACATCTTGGGCCTCACATGTATTGTTTAAGGTTGGTAAGAAAAAGGTGACATCAAAGCGATTTGTTTTTGGGGGCATCGCCAACCCGATTGAAACGAAAGGGAACTGTTCCTGTAGATTAAAGACCCAACAAATCTCTGACACCAAATCTCTCCTTGCTTGCCTCAAGAAACCTTAGTATGCATACCCGACTGAGAGAGAAGTGCGAATATTTGTTCATATCTGAATAAAGTGCGATCGATCCATCTTAAAAACTTAATGGCAGATACACACTACCCAAAGGGCAACATGCGAGAACATGAGCTTGTTGGACCCTCTAGACACCACTTGCGGGTAAAGCGACAAGGACAAGCTCGCATCCAAGCCTGGTTAGATACATAATAAGGATCGATGATCGATCAGCCGTGATTAATCACGCTAATCGATATCTCGAATGCTCCTGAAAGAATGGATCGGCCCTTAGTTTGCTGGTGATCACTGCCTCTATCTACTGTGATAGATGAAGGGAGAAAGCGTGGAATCTTTTTTCAAGATAGGAAAGATGGTCCGAGACTATTTGATGCCTTTCTCTTTCTTTCTTGAACTTGAGGGTATCATTCAAACTCTCACGTGAAAAAGCTAAGCGAAAGGAGAGAGAATAAAGAGAAAACTCGACATAGCCAACACCTTCCTCCGACATACCTTTTGGAAATTAAGCCGTAGCTTTCCTTTAGCGCAGCACAAGTTCTATTCTCCGTGTTCAAAAATATTTAAGGTTTCGAGCTTCCAGATGCACAAAAAATAAAATAAAAATTGATATTAAGGAACAAGATTATTTAGCACCTGCAATAAAATACCAAGCCAACATATTTTTACCCTCGCCTATGTGATCAGTGGGATCATATTCCATTCTTTGGAAAAAAGCACTATTCTCAGGCTCCGATCCCTGCCTCGACTGCACCATTGCAGATGTGAGCTGAAGTGACCCCTTAAACCTCGTTATTGGAGGTGTGATTAAGTGTTTAATTACCATAATTTCCTTCCTTTCTACATCGTTTGGGACTTGGTTTAAAGAGATAAAAATAGCAGGTTTACCATAACTTTCGTACGGTACTCACTTAAGTGACATAAAATTTTTTTTCGCTCACTTAAGTACCACAATCCTAAAAAATCGATCGCTTAAGTGCCATTGACAATTTGCCTTGTCAGAAAATTCGACGTGGACACCGATTGTCCTACGTGGTATTACCGGCGTTAACGTGAATAATTTTTTTATTTTTCTTTTCTTTTTTTTTCTTTGCTCTTTTTTTTGTCCAACGACCCTTGTCGGCCGCAAAGGCCTCGCCCACGATCGGCAAGGCCGCAAAGGCCCTGGGCAAGGTCATTGTGGCTTTGCCAGCCGCGGGCAACGGCAAAAAGGCCCTCGCCGGCCGCGACGACGGCAAGAAGGCCCTCGCCAGATTTGGGCTAGAGCATTCATAGCCCCCCCGGCCACAAGCGAGGTGGCCTCACTCAGATCTGGCGAGGGTCTTCACGCCCTCGCCCGCGGCTGATGAGGCCGCAATGGCACTAGATGAGGTGTTCGCAACCCCACCGACTGCTGGCGAAGGCCTAGCCCAAGGCCTTCGCGGCCCCACCAGCCGAGGGCGAGGCGGCCCTCGCCTAATCTAGGCATAGGATAAAAAAAAGCAAAGAAAAAAAGGGAAAATAAGAATTAAAAATTAAAAAAATTCACGTGGGAAGAGAAAATTAAGCACAAAATTCACATCATACGATTTGTCGGAAATGGCACTCAAATGATTGATTTTACTCCGATGTGGCACATAAGTAAGTGAAAAAAAAAAGTTATGACATTGAAGTGAATGTCGTACGAAGTTATGGTACTCCTGCCATTCTTAATCTGAATTTGGAAATTGGTTACAAGTATGGAAACGAATTGAGGATCTTGAGAATTCGAACACGCGACTTTCTACTACCATATAGAGTTTTGGTCCCTATCATTGTCCATAAACATCTAAAACCTTATCCCCACTTAGTCGAAGTACAATTATAATCGGTATTGATTGTTCTAACAATATGTAAACAAGATTAATCTTTCTGACATATGCGGCGACCTATATTGTAGGTCCATCTCAAATATTATTAACTCTCGTCTTTTCTGCAAAAATATAAAGTCAAATGAAACACTTCTCATATTTTATGAACACTTGAAGTATTCGGTTATCTTCACACGTGTTTCATCAATTATAGATTAGAATTTTCTTATTTTGGCCAATGAAATACTAGCCAAAATACATGTATGAAATAAATTTTGTCGTCGCCCTACTGATCGGACGTATACATATAAGGTCCCTCTTCCTAATTATGTTTTTTCCCGAATCAGAATGTACAAGTGGGTACAAGTGAACAAGGCCATGTGTTAGATTCCTGGTCTAAGTAATAGGTTAGATCTTTTGGAGGTCCGTCTGGGGCACACCTTTGTTGGCTTTTTCCAGGCTAAGAATAGAAAATCACATGCAACGCTCCATATACATATAAAGCTTCCCCAGTTTTCAAACGGCTTTTCTCTTTGGCATGCAGGACCTCATGCTTATTGTTTACACTTCTTGGTTTCGTTTCACAAAAAATGTGATGCGATATCCTTCAAGAATATGGATGGATCGATATATATCAATAAAAGTTGTAAAGGATCCTTGATTTTGGACTAAATGATAAGAAAGTTAAAGGTATGGAAACCGAAGAATATCGCTTTCAGCCATGTAAATTGCAAGAATGTAAAGATAAAGATAAATTTGCAGAAGAATGTTGAGTTATGTGATTGATTGGTGTCCTTACGATTAACAGTTATCGAATTTGACTAAAAAGATAACTTCCTACTACTATCGATAGTTACAAGAAGTTAAACGATTTCCTATTATCTAGCAACATTTCACCATAAGAATTTAATCCTAAAATAGCGGCAATAAGCATAACCCCCAGCAGTTACATTTTTGTGTCAATTTCTGGCTATCGATCATTTAGTCAATCAACTTCCTAAATATTGATGAAGGCTCTTGTAAATAATTTGTGTATTTTCGATTTCCTTGGCAAGTTGTCAACTGTTCAGATCAAATCGTATTCATCGATTGGGTTTGTTATTTAGTCGATGATAATAATAAAAAGTTGGTCATTTTTTCGGCGTCAATAAGTTTCAAACGAATTCCAAGTTGCTGACAAAGATCTTCCTATGTATCCCGCAATTGAATAAGTATCTGGGGTTTCCGATCATAAAAAAAATAAATAATCTGGGGTTGATATCTATTTCGTACTAACTGAAATGATCGGGAAATCAGAATATGATAGATCTCTCGGAGATAAGCATCCCCCGTGGGCTTGGCCAACATCATTATTCCGGACTAGACACCTGAAAGAGTTCCTCCTGTTTTACTCCCAAGGCAGAAGAGACAATAAGGGAACATATGCTGCTGTTCCTCCTGTTATACCTTGACATGTATGCACACATACAAAACTAATTCCATGGCTTTAACAGAGTTAACGGATAGGGTTTTCATTTTGAATGCGAAATTAATCCCCATATAACGGGCCTGTTCTATTATTTTGTCGAACACATACAATAGCATCATATGTTGGGTAGTCGCGTGTAATTCTGAACTTGGCTACGATCTTCATTCCATGTCTAAGATTAGGTTGTCAGTGTTGCAAGCTTGCAATGTCATTTGTTTGTTAGAATAAGGATTGGGGATTGGATAAGATAGGAAAAAAAATTCTTAGTGGCCTATCATTTGTTTGGCAAGTTACAGGATAACTTGAATAACTAAAAATATCAGAAAAATTTGGATTGAAGGTAAAAAAAAACATTGAAACCGTAGATTTGCAAGGAACCATCGCCGGACCTCCACGACAGAGACAAGACAGAGCGTGCGTCACAGTGAGGATAGCTGCCACCAGCGAGTGACCGTCGTTGTCTGTCTGGGAGCTGTGACCGCCTCGAGGCAGTCACCGGTGACCTCCGCAAGGCGATCACAACCGCAAGTCCAGTCATCGGAGCCACGATGGGGCGACTCAATCGCTTTGTGTGAGAGAGAGACGAGAGGAAAGAGAGAAAGATGGACACCGCCGTCACGGCTCCGGGATGGTGGTGCTGTCCTGTCTGCACCGCTTTCTCACTTGTTACCGACACAGCCGAGAGCGCTGCCCACTTCCTCTCTTACCCCTACCTGCCTCATGTTAAACTTTTCTTGTCCTTTTTGGTATTTTTTATCGGGGCCTATCCTACTTTGTGCAATCTGAAGCAAGCCACTAAACATTAGTTAAATTAATTTATATCATATCTGGAGTTATATCCGATCGACCAAACACATTAGCGAGCCGCCGCATGTACACCTGTCCGCTTAAGAAGAGAGACTCTCAAACTTGAACTTTTTCCGAACTCCCTAATCAACGAAAATATAGGTTTGATAATCATTATCCTCTAAAAACAGGAGGAGATTTTCCGTGTGATATTGCCAAGGGCTCCTTTATTCCGGAAAGGAAGTTGCGTGAAACAAGTGCATGTAGCCCGAGTCCTTCCTAGAATTAACATGCGCTCCATCCAAGCTTCATTGGCTTTGGGGGGGCCCTTAGCCTAGTAAAACAGTCAAAGATATTCTGATACTACAACCAGCACTGTTTTTTCAAACCACTTGCTCATAGTCTTTAGAGTCCTTGACGCCGCGACCCTATAAATGTACAAATCCACTTTAGATGCTCACCCAACACAACACAAAGGAAAACCATTTAGTACCGTTAAGGAAACCCATTAAAGCCCTTCCTCTCATCGCCTCCTCACCTTGCAATTCTGAATGGCTTCTATTCCTCAGTCTTACTCTCATTTCTCCTCCTTTGCCGATGATGATCTCTACGCTCATGAGTCTCTGGCTCAAGTCGTTGAAGCTGGAAGAAATGTGGGAGGTCCATTGTGGAGTGCTGAGGAATCATTGCCTCACCGTGGGATGTTGTCATCACAGCAATATCAGAAAGCCATCTCTTCTGTTCCGACATTCCCGACATACATGGCCGACTTCCATGAAGAAAGGATCGTGCCTGCATTCCCCGAAGCTGTGATCAACTATGGATCATCGTACGGGATCGTCGACAAACCTCAAAGCTTCAGCAGCTTATTGTCGTGCGATGATCAGTCTTATGTCTGCGAATTATTACAGAAGGAAGCCTGCCCATTCATGTCTGGTGATTTCAAGCCAGTTCACAGTGCCGCTGACGACCATTGCAAATGGGTATGCCTTTGCTTTAATTAACTTCTATCTTTATATGCTTACGCACATATATTAATCCAGACCTTGCATGGGCGTATTTGTTTCGCCTCTGCTGTGTGCGCGTCCTTTGCGTCTGTCACAAGTAATACACTTACGTCATTGACTACTAATACTTAGTTGAATAAACACCATTTTTCTCACAGAATATAAAGGTTCAAGGAGAGCCATTCCCTGAAGAATGTAACCTCAAAGTTGGGAGATACTCAGTGGAAGAAAGAAAACATAGAATTCTCAGATATCTGAAGAAGAGAAACGAGAGGAATTTCAACAAAACAATTAAGGTGCTCTTTACACGAGCCCTACTTCCTCCACATGCATGCTCTCATGATCAGTTTCGTTTTACATGCATTATTTACCTGCTCTACATAAGGTTGCCGATAACAAGAAGTCATCGACTTGATTTTAGTACACTAACATATTGAGTACGTACGTGCAGTATGCGTGCCGCAAATCCCTAGCGGACAGAAGAGTTAGAGTACGTGGGAGATTTGCGAGGAACAATGATTCCTGTGCGGAAGAAATGGCAGCAGCGAAGAAGAACGAATATCCCCAACTAGAAAAAGACTTGTTCTTCGGTGATGATGTTCAGGTAATTGACTCATCTAACTTCACACGATAATCAAGCATATAACATCGATCATTCATCACACGCAGTTTGCATAATGCGCTTCACCATTAGTCCTTGAAATAATAACATATGAAGGTGGATAAATTCACAACTTTTTTTCTTATTTGCTATTTATTGTTGACAGATGAAGCAAGATGAGGAAGATGAGTGGGTGCAGGAGGCATTGGCAGATCTACTGTATTTGCCGTATACGTCGGCGGGCGATAGATATCTCGGTGCATATGAGACCATGCTCTAAGCCTCAAAGCGAGAGACATTTCCTCCATCTCACAAAGGCTGCCCAGATCCATGTGATCCTAGCATTTCCTTCTATTGAACCAATATATGTGTCCACGAGTTTACTATATGGTTAAGTCACCGAAGGATTTTGATGAGTATGGTTTTTATTTTCCTGGAATATCTGAAATATAATTTCCTATCTCTCGTTTTAACTATCCCTGGGACCAGGGTTTTCCTTAATTTCCCGATTATTGATAACACTCATCTTATTGTAAGATTGGCTTCTGATTTTCTCGTAAGAAAGTCGACGAGACCATAAAATAAATTCATGGACCACAAATTCCCCCCAAAAAATGCATAAATTACATACTGGAGAAAAATATCCTCACTTTTAAATGATCCAAAAATGCATGAATCACTTCAGGGATAAAATAACTCACCGTTAAGTTTTCCATGCCTACAAATTTATGAATTCACCGAAAATCATTGATTTGGAACACTAACTTTTGGTTTGGGGTAGAAAGAACTTGATTCACTAACCGTAGGTCTTTAAATTTGGGGATACTAATTTTTTTATTCTATTTTCTTGTTAAAACAGACAACTTCTTGATTGAAAAACTACAAGTGTGAAAAATGTTTTGCATCGGTGCTCTTGCCAATAGTAACTCTACATTTATTGTCTCTTGAAACAAAGGTGTTTATATCGTTCTTTTTTGCACTTAATGTTAAAAAAATGTAACACTGATAATGTTAATAAGTTTCTTATTTATTCCATTATTTTTATTTTGGTTTATTTTCTTTTCTAATATAAGTAATCCCACTCGGTGGGCTAGCAGACCCACCTAGTGGGATTCATGATTTTCCCAGGGAGCCGGGTAAACAAGTCAGCCGATTTTCTTGGGAAAATATGTGGTGTCCATGAAACCGTTACTCTTCTACGAGTAGCAGTACCTTTCCCCTCTCATTTCCCTAGATTTTGCTTATCAAAGTAGGAATATTGCGGGCAGTCCGTATCGCATGCAATCACCAAGAGCATCACGCTTTATTCCATCCAGAGACGCTGAGAAAACATGCGCGCAGGAATCAAAACAAGAAAAGTTCCAAAACTTAAGCCATTCAAATCAAAACAACAATCAAACTTATTGTGTGCAAGCAGTTGCTTGACATATATGATATACTAAAGATGCATCACTCCGGTCTAACGTTAAAGTTTTTTGAGAGTGAAATGCTTCGTCGATGTTCAAATGAAGTTTACTGACGGGAGCTGTAAGTTTCTTACTCCTTTAATTGCATATTCAAGACTTTTTCTATGTTTCAACATGCAATAATGAAATTTAAGCTCCCGTTGTCACAATCATATCTGATGGTGACTTGTGACTTCGACTAATATTTAGGATCTGGAATGCACCATTCAAAGGTGTAGTGCAGCGTAGACCGATGGAACACCAACATATATTTCACACATCTGGCAAAAAAAAAGAAAGAAACGAACACCAATAATTCACCTATTTTCGATGCCTCCAGAATGTTTTGTAAGCCTTTTTAAGGTATGTTGGAGAGATGTAGAGCTTTCTTTTTGAAGTAAGTGACTTGCACTTCTTCTTGTTTCAAAGTCTCTCCAAGAGAGTGAATTTTAGTTTACTTTACTTAATTAGTGTCTTAATTGAGAATACTCATTAACAACACCTCTTATTTTCATATTGTCTACCTCATAGAAACCCAAAATAAGGCCCATGAATGATCTTGGAATATTTTACCATATATATACGATTGAGATTCTTTAAATTTGGATGACTATATTGGTCATGTAGAGTTACCTCGACCAAAATATACCTGAGTTTTAAGAAAGTTCACCTTCAAACCTTCAAATCACATACTCTCTCTCTCTCTCTCTCATCGTGATGCACAAGTTGCCTCTTCAATTTCTTTACCTTTCCTTTTGTTGTGTTTTTCCGTATTGAAAATAATCATGAGATTTCCATTTTTATCAATTGCTATTCGATGAACACCAAACGCTCGATGAGATAGCATGTTCCAATACCTGCTGTCATATTCAAATAATTTGACAGACAAAGCATAGATACAAAAAGTCCATCTAACCTATCTTATCTTATTTAATAAAAAATACTTAATCGGTTGAAAGCGAGTACGATGAATAAAGAAGGAGATTCCATAAATGGGTGAAAGGAAGTTGCGATCAATACTTGAGATCGTAGCTTTTTAGACCATTTTAAAGTTTGAGTATGAAACTGCCTCTTGTTAAAACTGAAGCTCTTAAAGAGCGACACGTATTATTTTCATGTAGTCGATAATTTAACTGCCAAATGTCAATAATATATATGAACACTTGAAATCCAAGTGTTTGAGGTAACGAGCAACAGATAGCTGCAAATTATCACATCCATGTCAGAATGAAGTGGTGGGAAGCATATGCCCAAATAGACATGGTCTATATCTATATGCTTTTTGAGTGCTCTTCTGAAGCCTGGTAATGAAAGAATCAAAGTGTTAGCAGTTTTACAATAATTAGGACCCCGTGAAAGTCAAAACGAACATGACAGAGAAGAGAAATAGGAACAAGAGCTACCATCTTCACAAGCTTCTATTGGTGGTGGAAATAAATGGCAAATGGGTGTCACAAGCAGGCATTCCTACGGACGTAAGAAAGCACTCAGCCCATAAATGACAGACATCCTGTCAAAGTCGTGGCCCCTCTCTATGTATCGTGACCATAACTCTGATCGAATTTTCTCATTGCAATTTATAGTGATAATTGGATACAATGAGTTCTTCCAAATACTGGAATCGGTAGCTTCCTATTGCATTGGCCGCCGATACGCCTACGAGGAATTTAAATTGCCAAAACCAGGTTAAATTAGTTGTAGGAAGAAACCTCGTATCAACTGATAATGGTTTTTTAATAGAACTCAAATTGAATTAAGCAAGCATTACTTGTTGCTCTTGCTCCCGTGTTTCCTAGAAGTGAATGTAGTTCTTTCTTAACATTTGTCTTAACATTTCCCAATTCAAACGCTAGGCAACGTCACATAATAATGCTGAGTGAATGTCATGATATCGCATCATATTTCTTTTCTAAATTTGGCTAGAAGAGTGAAGGCCCTTTCGAGAAGATCACAAGAAGTGGAATTATGTTTGAGAGAGAGAGAGAGAGAGAGAGAGAGAGAGAGAGAGAGAGAGAGAGAGAGAGAGAGAGAGTCCCCCCAACTTAGTCAGTGTCCTTTGGAGCGGAGCGAGGGCTAAAGTGCGGAAGCTCCAGTTGAAATTATTGATGGGAGTTGAGCTTTGAGACTTTCGAATATGTTTGTTCATAAAATGATGATTCTAAAGACAAAATTCACAACCAAACTCGAACTCTCCCTAAACATGATTGACTTTAAGATTTGGTCGGTCACAAGTTGGCTTATCAACAACCTGTCTCCTTCATATCCTGCTTGATTCACATCGATCGTGGCTTGACTCATAAACATCGAAACCTTTCCTCTTTGCTAGGGTTTTCTAGCAAGTGCAGATACTTCACACAACAAGAGCGACCAGCTACCTCTCTCTATAGCTTCTTGAGTCCTTGCAAGCACTGCTCATGGTGGTGCAATCTCTTTTAAAAGTCAAAATGGGAGGTGATAATAAATGGCCAACAGTCATGGCACTTAGCTCAGACAACAGAAAAAGGGAGATTATCACACATCATGAATGACGGATTTTAGGTAGAAGAAAGGAGATGAATGGGACCTTTCGCTTAGACGTTCTACCACTCGCCTCCCTCCTACTGATTGCGATGATATATGTCGTCCCTCCCCATTCAAGCCCCACTTTGCTGTTTCACATTCTTTTCGATTGCATATGTACGTCGTCTAGAAGATTATATATAGCTAGCATGTGGCCAACATTCTCCTGGGATAGAACATAAATAAAGTATCATGTCATATAATTGTCTTGTGTGATTCATCAAAAGCCAACCATCTTGTACCAAACGCTATAGACTCTCTCTCTCTCCTCCTCCCCCCCCCTTCACATATAGAGCTGCTTTGATCATTTGCCAAGTGTTATTTCGATTAATTAGCTACCATCTTATGTTAGTGATGCAGATAGAAGCGATAACTTGGAAAACTCTTCCACGATTCGACTGGAATTCAATTCAATTTCATAATAATAATCTGAATACAAAGCTGGACGTCCTTTTATAATGATAGGACTCCTAAAGATATCTGAATTAATGAAGATAACATCAAAGCAAATCAAATCTAATCTTATAAAATCAAATCTAATCTTATTTAATAAAATCAAACGAAATATTGATAATTTGAAATTGCCTAAAGTAAAAAAAACTGCCTAATCAGAAAAACTATCGAGATTTCCGGCGATTACGGCGATCACATTCTTCAAGATAATCACAGGCTAACTGTTCTACATCAGTTAGTTTACAAGAAAAGTGCCAAAAAAGTCCGAAACCTTTTGCATTAGTGCCAATTTAGTCATAAACCCTTTTTTATGCCAATTCAGTCCTAAACCTTTTGCATTGGTGCCAATTTAGTCCTAAACCTTTTTTTGGTGTCAATTCAGTCCTAAACCTTTTAAATTGGTGTCAATTCAGTCCTAAATCTTTTGTTTTTATGCCAATTTAGTTCTTCCGGCAATTTTGATCGAAATTTGCCGACGTGGACGCCTGCCGGCCGGGGGCCAGTCACCGGCGCCGACGTGGCGCCGACTTGGACAACTTTAATAATATTTTAATGTTTTTTGAATTTTTAATTTTTTTCCTTTTTTTCTTTTTTTTCCACTTTTTTTTTTTGGTCTTCCCTCCTTCCTCTGGCCGGCGAGCTCGACCTCGGCGGCCACTAGCGAGGCCCGACCTCACCGGCCACTGGCGAGGCCGCCCTCGCCAATGGCCGGCGAGCTCGACCTTGCCGACCACTGGCGAGGGCGAGCCTCGCCTTGGTCGGGCGAGGCCCGACCTCACCGGCCATTGGCAAGGTCGGCCTCACCGGAGGCCGCGACGAGGGCGAGCCTCGCCTTGGTCGGGCGAGGCTCGCCCTCGCCAGTGGCCGGCGAGGTCGAGCTCGCCGGCCTCTAGCCTCTGGCCGGTCGCCGAACCAGAGGAAGGAGGGAAGACAAAAAAAAAAAAGTGAAAAAAAGGAAAAAAAAATAAAAATTCAAAAAAATATTAAAAATATTATTAAAGTTGTCCACATCGGCGCCAGTGACTGGCCGGCAGGCGTCCATGTCGGCAAATTCCAGTCAAAATTGGTCGGAAAGACTAAATTGGCATAAAAACAAAAGGTTTAGGACTGAATTGGCACAAATTTAAAAGGTTTAGGACTGAATTGGCACCAAAAAAAGGTTTAGGACTGAATTGGCACCAATGCAAAAGGTTGAGGACCGAATTGGCACCAAAAAAAAGTTTAGGACTAAATTGGTACTAATGCAAAAGGTTTAGGACTTTTTTGGCACTTTTCCCGTTAGTTTACCCATGGTAAACTTCTCCTATTCGAAAACAAAGATCAAGAATTCATTAACGCGATGTTGCAACTTTCCCAAAGGTGAACCATCAAAAGGAAAATTAATGGATTACCAAGGCTCCGTTTGTTTCGCGAAAAATATTACGTTTGTGGAAAATGTTTTCCCGGAAGTCATTTTCCTGGAAAATGACACAATTTTCCAATACTAAAGTTTGAAAAAGTTTCGGAAAATATTTTTTAATTTTCTTGGAAGTCATTAAAAATATTTTTCTTTTTCTTTTTTCTTTTTTTTTTTCCTTCTTCTTCTTCTTCCTTAGTCGGTCGCCGGCCACGGCGGTGGCCGGCGACTGGCTGAGGAAGAAGAAGGAAAAAAAAAAGAAAGAAAATATTGAAAATAAATAGTGAAAGAAGAAGAAGGAGAAGGAGAAAAAGGAAAAGGAAAATGATTTCCTCTTTCTGAAAAGAGGAAATCATCTTCCTCAAAAGTGAAGGCATTTTGTCCATAGGAAGGAAAATGTTTTCCGTGGGAAGTTATTTTCCGTGAAACAAACACCGGAAAATCCATAAAATATTTTCCCAAAAGTTATTTTCTATGAAACGAACGAAGCCTAAGTTTAAGACTAAGCCCGAGCTCCCCCGAGGCCATATCAATCGCAATTTTGGGGTTTTGATTTAATCAATCTCACATACAATTTAATTTATTAGGAGTCGACACTAATTTATTATGGGTTTGTTAGAAACTCAATAAAATATGGGAGAACATTTACTTGCGTGAACTAGAGATATCATGGATATGAAGAATTGATTACGCTAAATAAATCTAAAAACCTTTGGTACATTTTACTCTTTATTCAAAAATATTTTTGCAAGCGATCTGAGTCAATTTTAAACATAAATCACTAACATGTGAGTGGTGATCATGCGGGTGTGCAGTCAATTAATGTAACACTTTTTATAAACCAAATCGGTAACTAAATTGCTAGAAATAGGGAAAAAATCTTTATGCCTCAAACAAAACATGACATTATTATGATAATGCCCCAAGTGTTCTTAAAGATGTTAGCTAAAAATATGCATGACGTAAACATGATTTCTAAATGCAATGATAATCAATTATTTTTGGGTTTTTTTTGTTTGGCAAAAGATTAAACTATATGCAATGAATGAGATGCAATTTAATTCTAGATTATGTCTATGTGATGTTAATCCAACTAATAATATGTGATATGGATTATCAAAGATGCGATCTATATGTAGCCTAATTCTAATATGACGGGCAAAAGAATTGAGAATTAATCTAATATGACATGCAATTTAATTTATATGAGCCTAAATATGCAATAACTAAATAACACCAACATGATGACATAGAATTTATGACATTGCAATGTGATGTCGTGGCATCAATGACATGACAAAGATAGCACATCAAAGATGAAATGGTAATAATGACATGACAATGATGACACTACTTTTATATGAAACATGCATCTTTTTTTTTTTTTTTTGGAAAAACACCATCAAAAACCCCAAACTATGCAACTTATGATAAATTTACCCTGAACTTTTTTTTGTGACACGAAAAACCCCAAACTATGCCACTTGTGACACATTTACCCAACAATACATTTGTCTATGGGCATTTTCGTCTTTTTCTTTTTTCTATTTTTTTTTCTTCTCTCTTCCCCTTCGCCCTCGCCTTCGCCGGCTTCCCTCCGCCGACCAAAGCGGAGGGGAAGAGAGCAGAAAAAAAAAGGAAAAAAAAACAGAAAAAAGAAAAAGACGAAAATGCCCATGGACAAATGTATTATAGGGTAAATGTGTCACAAGTGGCATAATTTAAGGTTTTTGGTGGTGTTTTCCCTTTTTTGTGATTTTCTTTTAAAACTAAAATAGGAAACTACCTAAAATATGTGACACCTAATATGAACTAGGAAATTATTCAGATTAAATTCTAATCTAAATTAGGTAATTTCCTAATTAACTATATGGTTCCTAAATATGCAATTCTAAACTAAGAAAATAATATGAATGCAATCTATTTTAAATGCATTGCAATTTTTGTGTTTTTCAAAATAGGAAAGTTTCCAAAATTAATAACATGTAATATATAAACCCACATAATCAAATATGGAACACATTTATAATAGGAAACAAGGGTAGTTGGGGATAAAGATCGAAACCTCAACCATCAACCATATAATGCAATATACCAAATCACGAAACTTCCTATTTGGGGGACGCCTAAAATGGATTGATTACTATTTAATTAGAATGCAGTTATGTGAGCTCGATTACTATTTAATGAAAATGCTTCTAATATGCAATTTAACAATATTTTTTTTTGTTAGGGATTGGGGTTAGTTCCTAACTTTTCTATACAATGAATGCCTAAACAGGTCGTTAAAATTTAGGTGTCAATACGCGAACATGCAATTACAGTAAAATTGATAATGGGTAGACCGACAAAAGGGCAAACACGGGGAGATTAATGTGCATTTTGCTGGAAAGTCCAATTCAAAATTTTTAATGTCGGGATGCGAAAAACTTGACCCGAGCCATGAAATAACCGCAAAAAAATGCTGATCGTAAATGACCACGCAGATATCCGAATTTGGTTATCTTGGGATGAACTCGTGAGCAGGCCTTTGTTGGACTCCGTGGATGGGCCGACTTTATCACAGTCAAGATCTCCCGTGAACGACATGAAGCCCAAGAACAGGCCCAAGGCCAAGCCCAAGACCAAGCCCACCTTCTCTACGTTTTAAAAGATTCGGAGGCAAATTCCGACTCCCAGTCCTTCCGTTTCCACAGGAGCCGGATCTCTATCCCAACGTCGGACAGGGATGGCAATGGAGGTGGAGGGTCGTGACCCAGACAAGGATGAATTCCTGCAAGAATTCGGCGAAGGCTATGGCTACCCCGACGGCCCCAAGTCCGTCGATCAGATTCGAGCTTCCGAGTTCAGTCGCTTGGATGGTCTCGCCCACGCTCCCTGCTCCTTCGCCCTTTTTCCTTCCTTTCTTTCCTTCCCTCTTTCGATTTGTTCAATTCTCCTGCTCCCGATGGAAATGATAGGCCTCGTCTACTTGGATCACGCCGGCGCCACGCTGTACTCCGAGCTGCAGATGGAAGCGGTGTTCCGACAGCTGACTGCGAACGTTTATGGGAATCCTCGTATCCCCCCCTCTCTGCTAATTCCCCGCATGTGCTTTTGTTGCGCCTTTCGATGTCCTACGGATTCCCATTTCTTTTTCTTTTTTTCCCTTCTTCTGCCTCCCGACATGACCCTCGTGAGTCGGCCTGTTATGGATTGGCGGTGATTCAAAAAGTAGTGCGAGCAACGACTTCTAATGGGTTTTTGGCCACTTGTTTTAGTGATCGGACAGTTCAAATGATTTTTAAGACAGCCTTTTCCTCACCTTTTGGAAAGGCGTCGACCAGTGGGGGGGAAGCCGAAGTTAGGAAAAGCATGATCGTGGCTGTTTAAAGGATCGAGTTTGAATTGACGGTAGTGACAGCACTCCTTTTTCTACTCTCTGGCGATCAGAGTCTCTTTTTATCACTGCTATCACTGGATTAAGCTATCCTTTCATTTGGACTTCAGTGGTTCTTTAGGTTGTCTTGGTACTTATGGCGATTGAGTTACCAAGAACGCAATTGGCCTTTTATAGGGTTTTCTTCCCCGTCTTAGATGTGAGGGGGAAGTCTCTTTGTTTATATATTAGGTTTGACTGGTATGAGTTCCTTAAGTACAATGTAGATAGCCAAAGTGATTCGAGCATGGCAACAGCTGACATTGTACGAGAAGCTCGGCAACAGGTATTGCATGTTTAGCCAAGCTGCTCTTTTTCCTGGTTCGATTGATTTTTGAAGGCTTCTTCACCCAATACTCATGTTGGTTTATTGTGGAGAATAGGTGCTTGAGTATTTCAACGCATCTCCTAAATACTATAGATGCATATTCACCTCTGGGGCAACAGCAGCTCTGAAATTGGTTGGAGAAGCATTTCCTTGGAGCCACCAAAGCTGTTTCATGTACACGATGGAAAACCACAATAGTGTCCTTGGAATCAGAGAGTATCCTCTCATTTTATACTGTTTTCGTCTTTACCGTGCTTTGCTCCAATAGCATTCTGCGTTGTTCATACATGAGATTGCCTATGTCATAGGCATTTGGTGTTTGGTATTGAAATAGGACATAAAAGGAGGAGGAGGAAGGGGGAGGGGGTGGGGGAGGGGGGGGGGGGTGTTTGGGGTGAGGGGAAGCTTATCAAGTAAAATGCTGTCACCAACATTCTTGTTGGTGCTTCTTTGATTATTATCTCACGCTATGGATTACAATTGCGATATTGACAGCCTCAGTAATGGCCTAGTAGTCCTGCTTTTTTCTTTCATCTCCTTTTTTGTGTGTGTTTGAGGGGGGGGGGGGGGCACATTTATCTGCACAACCCACTTACCACTGTAGAGGCTGTGACTGGGCTATAAAATACTAGCCTCCTTTATAAAGGCATTCCAGCTTTAGAGGCAGGTGAATGAGTCAGGAAGAAGTTTGACTACTTGAAGCACTCCACCATGAAGTTGAGTCTTCAGTTTGGATAAGCAGTGAAACTTCTATCTGTTGGGCAGGCTTTCAAGATAGAGATGCATTGCTCCACCTGGAAAGGGCTATACCTTATGGGGAAAGAAAAGAAAGGACCCCCTTTTGGCTCAAATTAATCGATGCCCATCCTTCAGATAGAAAAGAAAATGGAGAGATGGAGACATTGCCATTTCTGCTAATCATTTTTAAAATTGAGCAATTCTCCAAATGGTGAAATTTTATCGTTAAGCTATAAATGCAAGCTCTCAAATATTTATAGTTGGTAGGGATACAAAGTCCAATTATCGCACATTCAAAGCTCCTGCTTGTTTTCTGGCTGCTAGGCAAATTGATGCTCTGCCAAAGTTATTTTTGTGATTTTCTTTTTATAGTTTAGAGCGCTAGCATTCATTCTTGTGGATTTGTTATCTTTCAAATCAGTGCAAATTTCTAGTTTATGGTGTCATGCGGAGCACTCGCATATATTCTTGTAGATGATTTTTCTATCATCATGCAGAGCGCTAGCATCCATCGGCGTGGATGTTTTAGTTCTTATTCTATTGGTCAAAACTTCTGGTGAATATATGATAGGCGTGATGATTGACCACATAGTACTCTTCATATTTTTTCTGGTATTAAGTTTTGGAATTGTGGACTCCGGACTAGTAGCAAGTCTTTGGTGGGGTATCAATTATCAATACCTAGGCACCGTATATGGTTATTGCTTCATTAACATTTTCTCCTCTTGGCATATTGTCACAACTTGGAACCTCAAATGGCACCACAAAGTTGAACATGCTTGCCATAGATGACAAAATCTAGTTTCGACATGCATTACCTTCATAATCGTTTAGATATGCTTTGGAGAAAGGAGCTGCAGCATGTGCAGTAGATATTGAGGAAGATGTGCGTGATGGAAGATATCCGGTGAAGATTTCACAACATCCACTAAAGAGGAGGTTCTTTACAGATAATGAACCTGCAGGTAATTTTGAGTTGAACTGCTAAGGCCTGTTCGTCTGGTATTAATCAAAAGCAAATTTTTTACTTTTCCTGCCAAAATCTAAATTATTATCTAAATTTTAAAAATTATGGAAAAATGATATGTTAATGTATGTATCAACATTTATAGATTGTGAAAGATTTAGGTGTTTTGAATAAAATAAAAAAGTCAAAGTGCGTGAATCTCAAGATTTTGATTATGCAAAAAGTTAAAAGTAAAAGTCAAACCAGACACGCTCTTAAAACCTGGGGTTGGATGATGTTTAATTTGTGGGACAATTTGATAGTGTCCAAACTTCTGTATCCATGAATTGTTCTGATTGATTTATATCGAATGAGGTTGATATTTTTCACTAAAGTGAGTTTAGAAAATTTTGATTATCTGCTTGCAATGTTGGTGGGGTGTGATGTGCCCCTGGACTGGATCTTTTTATCGTATAGTCATTGTCTCCTGGTTCTTGCTTGTATGGATGTGTTTTTCCTGTTGCTGATCCCTTATTCAATGGGCTCTCTTGTAAAACCAATCGCTAAGGATGTGGACGCTCCCCTTTCCTCCATAATATCACCTAGTTCTGGGTCTGTTTGACACTCCTCTGGCTTTTTTCATTTAATAATTTGCTGGCAAAAGTGAGAAGTTTTGGTAAAGCTTTTTGTAATCACTACCATTGATTAATGCTTGACAGTCATTGATGATGAAGATATTGTACTAACTATTTCTTTTGAAGCCAAATTATGTGGTTCCTTTCAAGTACAATTTTTGCTTGCCAAGGCATTGTTGGCTTCGGCTTGTATGGCCATTGCTTTGATACATATTTAGGATTCAATGTGATCTGCAGTTATAAGCAGATAACCCAGCGGGTGTTTCTAATCTCTTGTTGACTATGAATTATATTTGTTATACATCATCTATATGCTGTGTTTTTGTTTTAGCAATCAAGCAAGCAAGCATTATCGAATTGAAAAGTTCTTTACTTTGCAGGAGCTGCTTACAGCTTGTTTGCCATGCCTTCAGAATGTAATTTCTCAGGGGTGAGATTCAACCTTGACTTGGTTAGGATTATTAAGGAAGATTCAGAAAGAGTACTGGAAGACTCTCATTTTCACAGGTTTATATGTAAAATCATATTGATCTAACCTTTAGGTTAGCATCATGAGTTCCTTGTGCTCAGTCTTTGTAATTAATATGTCATTCTTACTTCCCTGTTGGTCTCTTAGCCTCACCAGAAGAAAGATTTTCAGTCAAACCTGTACTATTGGCATCTTAACAACTGACTGGGCTTTGCCTCAGTCAGCTTCACTTCCCACGATCTGTTGGGTACTAGAAAGAATAAAGAAATAAGTTGTCTGAAGAACGGGTGATTAAATAAGAAGCTGCACTTTTAGAAGTTGAACATGGAGCTCGCATGTATATCTAGACTAGTTTGCTGAATCATTGATTTTCATGTTTATTCTCTTATGCTGCGCCAGGGGAAAATGGATGGTTTTGATTGATGCTGCAAAAGGATGTGCTACGAGAAAACTAGATTTATCTAAATATCCTGCTGATTTTGTTGTCCTATCATTCTACAAGGTACATTTGCTAGATCTTGTTGGGCTTTAAAGAGAGAACTTCACTCATCTGATCCCATCCTCTTTCTGTGTCTTTTTCAGTTATTTGGCTATCCAACAGGACTTGGTGCTCTCATAGTCCATGAAAGTAAGTTACTTATGGATGAAGTTATCATGAAGAAATGGCATTGGAAAATCTTCAATTTAAATTTCAACTTTTGGCAAGACACTATATTCCACTTGTAGTTTGATTTGAGATGAGCCATTTGAATTGGACCTTTCCATGATATTATGCTTCCAGAAACTTAAACACCTTGTTTAATATTTTGAATACCTTGAATATATTAAATAACCATGAAATTAAAAGTTTTTGTTGAGCTTGTTCTTGTCTTCCACTGAGGAAACACAATTATTTGTGTATTGTGTGGTACATAAGCCTTAGCCGCAGACTTGGATTTCTGGGCCAACTTCAATATATGTAAAGGGGCTGATGTTCCTCCTCCACCATTCTTCAAGAATTTTTGTTTTCTTTATAATCATTCTTCAAGAAGTTGACTTTGATTGCCAGGAGAATTTGCCATATTAGCCACTGTACTGCTCAGGATGTTCTTTAATAAAATATAAATTCTAAATCCATTGAAATATAAACCCTGCAGGTATAAAGAAATGAGTCCACGTGTTTAAGGAACTATAATGTGTTATAATTTTATCTGAATATCCCTTCGATATTGTTATATCTGCATATCGAGGGAGGCAACTCTAGGTATCCATTAGCACATATTGACACCTAGATAGCTGAAGTAGGGATGAAGCACTTTGAAATCGTATGATCAGAAGAATTCTAGCTGCATAACCGTTTTCAAACTCTAGATTTTCTCTGTATTTGTGTTATAATGGCCACATCATGCAACCAAAGTGTGTTTTTGTTTTTGTGTTGAATGTTCTATTACTACCCTGTTTGTATTATATGTCTGGATATTCTTCCTTTATAAATATGCCTACCTGTAACAAGATACTAATCGTAAAATATAACATTATATTACTTTTATTTATTTTTGTTTTTTGTGCAAATTTACTGTTGTTACCTTTCAAATGGGGAAATCGTACTACCTTTTCAATAATAGATTTGATCTTGTTTTCATTTTTCCAACGAGAAATTATATTTTGTCCCACTAAGTTGGATCGGCTTATGAATCCTTTTATGCCATTGTGCTTGATTCTGCATTAAGTCTTTCTTAAGTTCTAGGTACTCCATATCTTTCTTCATCATCTCCTTCCTCCTCTTTTGCTCCTCCTAAGTTAGTGGGAGCATCAGAAGCCTTCCCTTAAAGTTGTTAAGCCATCATAAACAAGTTTTACTTATCCTCAATTGAAGTCCCACCCACTTTTCCATGGATGTATTTATTTCTGATTCTTGTTTCTTTTTTCTTTTTTTGTGCCTGCTCATCCAATGAGGCCTTCTTATCTCCACTATACTCATTATGTGCATATATTGGTGTCTACCGCCCCTTTTTGTGTCATGGCCAGCCTTATAATGCTCTATAGAAGTTTCCCTGAAAGCTTAAGCGGCGTTCAGTGGTCGTACAAAACACCAGAAACACTTTTCCACTATATATTTCATGTTTGATTTAAATTATTTGAACTTGTTAAAATGAATGAGTTTCCATTTTACCCTTTTCCTATCTAAATCTATACAAGGGATGTTAGCCCGTGAAATGTAAATTTAAATGTCACGAAAATGTCATCCCCAAAGATCTCCTTCGTTGTTGGCTGCGCGGGTTCATCTCATTAACCACGAAATTTCAGATTATATTGTTTTTTTCAAGAAATGCCTGTGATTTGGATATGTTGAGTCAACTTCGCAGAGAAGCATTTTCTTTCCTTTTCTGTGTAGCTTCATTACGGTTATATCTAGGTTTGCGTGTAATGCAGATGCATGTTAATAATATTTCAATATATTGGAATTGCCACGGTTTAACTGATGGAATAGGTTGTTCTTTGCCGAAGACATGATGTGCTGCATGTGGTTTGTTTGACTGCTTGAGGTGACTAAGCTCAAAAAAGCACCAGACAGTATGCACATAAAGTGGAGTGTTAAAGAAGAGCCTGGTAATAATTGAATATTTGCTAATTTTCTCACTCTCTTCTGTCTGTGTCGCAGCTGCTGCCAAATTGCTGAGGAAGACCTATTTTAGCGGAGGTTTTTATCACTTTCATGTACATCTTATGTGGCATCAAAGCCTGCACTTTCTGATTGCAAGTTGTTTACAGGAACTGTTGCAGCTTCAATGGCTGATGTTGATTTTGTTAAAAGAAGGGAAGGCATTGAGGAGTCATTAGAAAATGGCACCTTGTCATTTCTAAGCATTTCATCTATTCGGCATGGTTTTAAAGTGCTTAATTCCCTCTCTATGGAAGCAATATCAAGGTGAGTGAACATCAATTATCTATTATGCATCTCTGATCACAATTTACATCACATGGAAATGGGGATTTCTCTTGGTTATATAAGCTTTTTGTTGTACCATATTATAGCCCGAGTTAATGTCACTATCATTGGAAGACCTTTTATGCCCATTCAATTACTAAGATGGATCTTTCTTTATTGGTTTCATAGTCCAAGGCGAAGGAATATAATTCCCTGGATGTCTACAGACTGAAGTTTAGGCAATCGAAGAATATTCAAGAGAAAATTCATTCAAATGCTTTTTAAAGTCAGCAATTGGGCTGTATCTCTATTTGACAATGCATTTTTACCTGCCACATGCTTGTTGAAGGTTAAATGATGCCTTTTGGCTTGTTATAATTAATTTTAAAGCGTGATGCGAGGTGATAAAGTTCTTTTTTTAAAGTTTTCCCATAATCAAGGCCACCATTGCTGCCTGAAACAAAATAAGAGCAACAAAAATGATAAGGATTCAACGATGAGAAACATTCATTAATGGTTTAAAAAATTTCTCAAGTTTAGCATCTTCTTCACTGGGAACATAATGTTTATTTAGCTAGTTATCTGACAGAATGGCGCTTGAGAATTTTAGCATACTTGCTGACGTTGATGATCTCTAATTCAAGGTTGGCAATATAGCCAGAGTAAAGCTATTGGTTGTCTCCGCCTTCTGATCATAGAGATCGATACATACTATCAGTTTGATCAGAGAAGGAAGAATTCTAAAATAAGAAAATATAATGAATGTCTGGTGTCGTATTCTGTTCCTTAGTTCCCAGAAATACTGCCAATGTGCACCTGTCATCTTGATGGTTTTTTTTTTTATATCTTTTTTGAAGGGATATCTTGTTTGACGGAACCTATATTGAGATTAACTAAACTCACTGACTCTCTCTCTCTCTCTCTCTCTCTCTCTCTCTCTCTCTCTCATTGACTTGTCAATGTTCCATTAGGCATACAGAATCACTTTCCGCGTACTTGAGGAAGACACTTTCGAACTTGAGGCACGAAAATGGAGATTATGTTTGCATTCTTTATGGAGTTCGAAATTCAGTGGTAGGTTTCTCAGCCGAGAGAGATGCGGCAAACTTGACATTATGGATGTATAATCTTCATATGATAAGCCTCTTTCCTATCCAGAGAAACAGGATGATACTTTTTTTTTTGCCAAGAGCTTATATCTGTTGAGACATGAGTTTTATTCGTAATTCAATTTGATTCTTTAGTTATGGTTCTTCTAATTTAGCCATTTTGGGCATGTTAATGGAGAGTTGTTCTACCTTCATTTTATAGTGATTGAATCGAAAAAATATTGAAAATGCCAGCTCTTGATGATTTATAGGTTATGCAGCCATTTAGGTCCACTTTTCTCTATTTATGTCGACGATTAATACTGAGAATATTAGTAAATTTTGTGGTGTTTTTTGCATTTTGGATGTCTGGCAGGATATAGGTCCTACTGTGTCATTCAACTTGAAAAGACCAGATGGCTCTTGGTATGGATACCGCGAGGTTGAAAAGTTGGCTTCTCTGTCTGGAATTCAACTCCGGGTAAAATTTTAACTATACTCTAATGATGTCCTTTTCTCTCAAGATGGAAATTTTACTTGTGTTGGTTGGTCATGTCATAATTGGTGTACCTTATAATCTCACAGAATAACATAAGTTACTGCCTAGTGTCTAGTATTGTCAGTTAAATAAGGATGTTAAAGTACACAGACCAGTTCTTCTATGGCTTACGTAGATCATTAAGGTTCATGCATGTACTCTTAGACCCTCTACCTTTTTCTTTGCATCTAGCATGTCATAATTCGTCTTCTTATTACTGATGCACTTTGTTTGTCTCGGAAGAGATAAATGAAGTCTGTTGTGGGATTTCTGTTTTGCCTGAGATGCCGACATGATGTTTTCACTCTTCTTTTTTGTGTAGACAGGTTGCTTTTGCAATCCTGGTGCATGTGCCAAGTATCTTGGTTTATCTCACCAGGACCTTCTTTCTAACGTTGAGGTACTTGCTCTGTGTCTGATATCTGCCTAACACTGTAACTAAGATAGCTTTCCTTTCTGGAAGTTGAGCAGTCAAGAAAGTTGAATTTACTGATTATTAGGCTGGCCATGTTTGTTGGGATGATAATGATGTCCTGCATGGAAAACCTACTGGAGCTGTTAGAGTATCCTTTGGCTATATGTCAACATATGAGGATGCAAAGGTACATACGTATAGCTGTTTATATGTCTAGACTTCTATTTGGAGAAGCTCCAGTGTGTTGGAATCTTTTAATTTGTCCTTAATTTTAGTCAAAACACACTTTGGCCTAATATCATTCTATTTTTTTGGTTCAGAAATTTATTGATTTCATTAAGAAGTCTTTTGTATGTATGCGGGACCACCCTACGAGTTTGTATAAGTCAACAGTACAATCTGACTTTTATGGGGGTGAGGGCCTCTCTCTCTCTCTCTCTCTCTCTCTCTCTCTCTCTCTCTCTCTCTCTCTCTCTCTCTCTCTCTCTATGGACACATATACACGGTATTTGTTCTTGCATGCATCATATGTGCACAAGGTTTGTTGTAATGTTGCTTGAGTTTAGCATCTTGAGAATGTTGGTCCAATTGTAGATTTCTCCCCGTGCTTGGAAGTGAAGGTTCCTTTTTCCATGTTTCGTACCTTTTGTTCATAAAAAATGAAGGAATGTCTGCATATTGTCCTGATTTGATGAAATTGTTTATTTATATGTTTAAACTTTTCCAGAACTCTATCTGGAAAGTTCTAGAGTCAGTTGAAAGAACAATTGTATGACTTTCATTAGTAATCTGATGCATTGTCAACCATTTTTTGTCCCAAGGACAGAAGCATGAAGATGTCTTTTCGAGTCGTAGTGGAGTCATTGATGAGTGTTTATTCAGGATGAGTTGTGCCAGTAGTCGTGGAAATAGTCTTTATAAGAACAAGCAGCCAATTTTTTTTCTTTTTGTAGCTATAAATTTCGACAAGTTATCTTCCCAGCTTGCGTGGTATTTTGTGAACTACACCTAGTTATATGAAGAATCCTTTGATGGCTGTTGACACCACCGTTGCTCTTTCAGTAGCTGTTTTTTCTTTCTTCCCTGTAGAATTGTATGTGTTCTCAAAAAGATGGTGCAGCATGGATCGTTTTGTCTCCAACTGAATGAGACATTGCATTGAAATTTTTGTTTAAGACTTCTTGCGCTTTGCAGGGTTTAAAGGAATGCCACAGAATGTTGGAATTCATGTCAAATCCATTATTATCTACCCAATAAAATCATGCACAGGATTCAGTGTTGAGAGCTGGCCTCTAAGCAGTACTGGTGATCTTTTGTTTCTGCTCATGTTTATACATATTACTAGGCAGTCGCATTACTATCTAAATTCTTTGATCCTACAAAAGTTGGTGTAGCTCTGAGGGATGTTTTTTTGTTAGTAACTAGTGTTAAGATGCCCATACTTACATGGCAACATGATGCTACAGTCACACATGAAACAATTCTCTTGTAACCACACTGTAGCTACTTTGAACTTCGAAGTTTATTTATAAGCACAGAGTAGCTACTCTGAAGCTACTGCAGTTTTCCAGTAGGCCAAAAGAGAAGCTACTTTGAATTTTGAAGTTTATTATATTTATTTATAGGGCCAGTGGGTATGGGAATTGACTTGAAGAGCTTTAAATCTGTTTTCAGAGGTGGATCGCTTTCCGGTTTCCAATAATTTTAATTTTCTCTGGAGTCTGGCTTATTATTTTAAAACAATCTGCAAATGCTTGACCCATGGGGATTTAATGATCATGTTGCCTTCCATTAAATTACTTATGCCTCTAGTCAATTTCGGTGCACCATCTTCTCTGTGAAGTTTAAGCTTCATGTAGTGTTTGGAAGAACTATGGAAATAAACTAAATTAGGATAGTCTCTTGCTTTGTGAACCTTGAGCAGGTCTTCTACATGATCGTGAATGGCTTCTCAAAAGCCTGGCGGGCGAAATCCTTACACTGAAGAAGGTAAAGAGTGTCTTCTTCTGCCATTTCATACTCATATTGAAGTCTGTAGACCTTTCAGTAAGTTTCAATGTCATGCATATCTGATTTTGAACTGAAAATTAGCAGCTTCCGCTAAACCAATTATGTCAGTACTCCTTCAGACGGCCTCTTCTGTTGTATTGCCACAGGCAGTGCTAATCCAACCCTTGCACTGCATTCTTTTAAGGCTTAATGCTTATAGAGTCTAACTGGTGATCATGGTGGAGGAGTACTGGTTGGCCTTAAATTGCTAGCCCCCATCCACAGCTCTTCCCCAAATTTCTTTACATGCACCACACTGCCAGGATTTTTTTTTTTTTTGAGAAAACACTGCCAGAATTTGGAGAGTAAAATGCTTGCTCTTAAGATGACAAACCAGGCTGATGCATAGTTTGCACAGATGAGTGGTCATTTAAGAATCATAGCATGGTTGTGGAGCAGAACATGATTAAGAGCATGACCTTGTGGCTTTTAAATATCAATTGCACATTAAGCTTGAATTATATATAGAAATGAATGTGTGGCAGTTTTGTGCTCACAAATCTCTGCACTTTATTCTTGGTAAAGAATCTCCTTATGTCAATCAATAAGGGAGATTAGGTTCCTACACCTGCTCTCAATTCAATTTTTTCCTTTTTCCACATTTCTTTATCTTGGCAGCAAATGTTTTTGTTCTCTAGCAATTCATTACACAAAATTAAACTGAATTGTCTACATAGATAGGATCAAAATGATGTTCTTGTGGGAGTCTTGCTGGCTTGATTGGGTTGCACAAGAGATCCCTTAATAGAGAGGACCGACTATACCTATTTGTAGGTTATGCAGATCTTAATCTCGGGCATCTGCTTTCAGTCTCTAGTGCCCGGATACTTTATACCCTGGAATATTTTTCTGGCAATATGCATAAGTGGCAATTTCTGACATGTCACAAAGACATAGTAGATCTCGGTATGTCTTGTGCAAAGCCAGGTCCATGTTAATTATATTAGCTCGCATGATAAAATTATTAACCAGTTCGAGTTTACTTATATAATATAAATAAATGAATGTAAATAGTAACTGAAGATAGCTAGATTTATTGTCATATATATTACAAGATATTCAAATTGTTCATTTACGCTAGACTTAATCGTCTAAATCATCTATGTATTCCATGCATATGAATTGATGGGACAGTTCACTTCACCATGAATAGTAAATGATCAGATACATTTGATGCATGAAGTTTCAATTATGTACTCTTTGAAAATCTTAAATTGTGTATCAAAATTATAATGCATTTTTAATCTCACCTCATTAAATAGAGACAAAAAGAAATTATATATCTTCCATATGCTCTTCCTTAGTATTATATCATATCTCAACATATACAAATTCTTTATTCTGTCTATTATCTTAAAATATCCTTTATGATTTTTTACTAAAAGATTATTCTTGTGCAAATGAACTTTGAAGCCTAAGGAGATTTAGTTAAAATAATTGCATGTTTTCTCATTGTGCTGAATCAACAGGTTAATAACTAGTAGTCTATGAGACCTTTATCCATATAAACTTACGATAGTGCAGTGGAACTTCAATTTTGGTTTTAATCAAAATACATTCTTTATCATTCACTTTGTAGGTTCCTGAATTGTGCTCTATAAGTGCTTTTGTTGACCTCAATCTGGCGCTTTTGATTGTGGAATCGCCACGTTGCAAAGAGAAGCTGGTGATCAATATTAAGTCAGATTCATTTCATCACACCGAAGAAGAGATTGGTTTGCATGCACAAAGGTGCAAAGCCTACTGACACCATGATGTAGCTGGGAAAAATTGCATATCAGCTGAGAACATAATTTTTTGCTTATTGTCAACTTTCATCTGTTATTTACAATACAATTAGTATCAGAAAGGAGCATAAATTCACAGAAGCATGTTGGACTGTTCTCTTATTCCATATGTCATCCTAAAGTTATCTAGTTATACTCTTGTCTTCATAATTATGAACACCATGAGCTGACATTAACTTTTTAATGAAGGTATGTAGTGCACAGTTATGATGAAGACGTCAACACGTGGTTTAGCAATGCCACTGGGCGACCATGCATCTTACTACGGAGTTCTAGTTCCAATCATCATATCCACTTCAAGAGGGAAAATAGCGTGGACATGTGCCGAGATGTGAAGAGTCGGTTGAATTTTTCCAATGAAGCTCAGTTCCTGTTAATCTCGGAGGAGAGCATGTCTGATCTTGATAGCAGAGTGAAGTCAAGTACAGTCTACGTTATTTCTCAAATCATTTCTCTTTGCGATATTAGTGATCACATACTGCAAATATAGAAAACTTCTGTCTGAGTAAAACTTTCCTGGAATGCTTTATAGATGGACTTGGGTATTGTTGAAGATAATAAACAATAACATTGAAGTTTAGATGGCTAGAGTGACAGATCGTAGGAGGGTAGAGTTATGGAGTTCCTGTTGTGCATATGTCATTCATGAGTTTGCAATACTAGTTAGTTATTCGTGTATGTATTTTGTTGGGGGTAACTTCTTCCATTAAATGGACAGCGATTGAAGTAATTGAGGTTCTCATTTCCTGCATGTTTATATGATTGGAATTCGTGTCCTTGATCTCTTTCAAGATTACCATTTTAAATATCAGTTGATGGTGTCAACAGATGCAAAAAATGTTGCTCGGGGAGCATCACTCAATATGAGCTCAAACAGATTCCGGCCTAACCTTGTCGTTGCTGGTGCGGAGCCTTATGCCGAAGATACCTGGAAAAATCTTAGAATTGGGGGGAAATTTTTCACTGTAAGTTTTTGGCACATTTATCAGAACAAAACTCTTTTCATTTTGAGGTAGACAGCAATTCGTTTCATTTTTGCTGTAATTGTCTCCTCTCTTCAGTCGTTAGGTGGGTGCAATCGTTGCCAAGTGATCAACTTAATTAATGAGGGAGGAAGAATTCTTAAATCAAATGAACCATTGGCCACTTTAGCATCGTACAGGAGAATGAAGGTATGGCATATAATCAAATCCTCGTCCTCTATTTTTTAATAAATTTGCATCGCAGTTTCATCTCTCATCAAGTTTTCCTTTTCCCAGGGAAAGATTCTGTTCGGTATACTTCTGAGATGTGAGGGTGTTGACGAAGTCGAGCTGGGAAAGGATCTGTGGCTTCGAGTGGGAGATGAAGTGCATCCAGATGAAAATTTGAATGGACGGCAGCCCCCCCAAGCTCCCACCTCCCAGAGACAGATGACGTAAAGATGGGAGATGTGACCCTGAGATTCTTGTAGTTGTTACGACCAGAACTGTAAGCAGGTGGTGAATAATTCAACAAGTTCTTTTTTGAATTCCTATGCGTGCAATTCCCTCCACACCAGAGGATTTTATCATATTTTTTTTGTATATAATTCTTGATACAATTTCATAATTTTTGATATTCTTGTAGACCTTCGGAATAATTTTGAGGTTGCGCAAACCAAATAGAATAACGACCTTGCATTGTAACCAAGTCTGAAATCAAGTGGATTAATTTTTGGTCCCATAATCCCTCATTATTATACATATAATGATATGTCATATTTGTGTATTTTTTTCCATTCGGATATTTTTAAGCAAAAGAAATCTTTTTCTTCGTAGAAAGATGTATATTTCAATACATTCCTTATATGACAAGTGGGTCTTTTTATTGCATAACTCCGTCCTTGGGCTCTAGGTTAGCTTTACGTGTGAATACATCAAAATCCAGGGCAGGATGCACTCTCTACAGTTGGTTCATTTGAGTGATTTTTTTGGGTTGCATTGTAGGAGAATGGAAAGGATGTATAACTTACAGCCTCATAGCTAGACACAGCAGTTTAGGTTTCAGCTTTTCAGGTTGCACTAACATCATATGATTATTCGATACATTTCCCTTCTTTCCTGTGATTCTCCTTCTCAAGCTATGAAGTTACATGTATATGTTTTGACACTGGACCATCAGTAATGTCATGCCTTCCATATAACATCTCAATTGCCTTCAGATTAAACCTTCCATACTATTTGTCTTCCACATGAATTCTCCTCTGAGCTTGCTTTTTTCTTTTTCCTTTTTCAAACCGGGTAAAAGTATCAAAAAAGTCCTAAATCTATTACATGGATTCCAATTCAGTTCTAAACTTTTCAATTAGACAAATTTAATCCTAAACCTTTTTGCATTGATACCAACTCAATTTGGATGGAATTCGCTAACGTCAACGCCGGTCATCTTTCGTGGCACGGCCACGGCCGGCGCTAAACATTTTTTAATAATACATTAAATTATATATATTTTTTGGTCTTTTCCTCTCTTTTTTTTCTTTTCTATTCTTTACTTCTACTTTTTTACTGAGGGCCGGCAAGGGCTGCTAGGCGAGAGGGCTGTGATGCCCTCGCCTATGGTCACTAGTTCATCTTCTTCTTAGTGCTCGTTGGTTTGTCGTTGAGGTTGAGGTCGAGGTTGCCCGTCGCAGAGGTTGAGATCGAGGGTTGTGCGTGCCGTCGAGCCGCTACCTTCACCGGAGCTGCTATCTTCGCCCGAGCTTATGTAGGTCAAGGTCGAGGGTCGAGCGACCTAAATCGAGCCCTTCGACCGTGGTTGCGCGACCTTGACGTCGCCTCACTTGGCATCATGCATCCTCGGCAGCCCTCACCTGGGTTGCGGACAATCAAAGGACCAAATCTAGGTCGCCCTGGGGTCGTGAGACCTTGGCTTCCCATACTTGGAACCAAACCAAGATGAGTTCGCCATCATAAATCATCAGACCATGAATAACAATTCCTCTCCACCACACGGTAAAGATCTTTAAATGCACTCCCCCTTCGCAAGATTGTAACTTCAAGCATCACCCACCTCCTCACACCAATAGATGACATTTAATCCCCCAAATTGATTTCTCACTCGATTAATTTGCTCTTAAGGATTATTCCAGATCGATTACGGTTCTTTGCCTATGTGAAGTTGAAGCAAGAAAAGAAGATGGCAATGGCGTGTAAGTTTTGGCGGAGATTGAAAGTGCCTTTGCTTTCACGTCGATGGATTTGAAGTAGCTTTTCACATTCCCTTACTTCGGACTCAAGCTTTCACCATCCCTTCTCATCTCAAGTACCCTCGCTTGAGGCCTGCGAGGGTCGGCCGGCAGCCCTTGCTGGCCCTCAGAAAAGAAGAAGAAGAAGAAATATAGAACAGAAAAGAAAAAAACCAAAAAAAATTATAAAAAAATACGAAATATTATTTAAAAAATGTTTATGCTAGCATCAATTGTGCCAAGTAGGACGGCTGGTGTCCACATTAGCGATTTTTGGCAAAAAAGATTTAGGACTAAATTGATCCAATTAAAAATTTGAGATTGAATTAATATCAATGCAATCAGTTTGGGATTTTTTTTTATATTTTTCCCGTCTTACATGGTCAGAGCTGATGAATTAGTCAAACGTGGACATAAGCATGTATTACTTCGAACTATCTATTTTGACCTAGTCTTTATAGTCCATTGTTATTATTTTTAGGCTCATGAGATTATTTCCAACAATTCATGACATTGTCATATCTGACGATTCAAATTATTTTTTTGGGGACAAATGATGATTAAAATTAGTAAAATTGAAATTACTAGATTAAGCTCGTGAGCTACTTGAGATTAGCATTTTCATGCTTGGGCTCGATTCGATTGAATACTTGAACTCGACTTGAAATAGAAAAGAATCGATCCAAGTTGAAATAGTAGGCAAGTAGCTTGACACTGGCTCGTAAGGTAGCGAATGATAACCATTCTGTTCCAGAATGAGTTCCTGAAACAGAAATAGATTTTTCTATTTCTGGTTCCAGGATGAGTTTCTGAGAAAAGAAATCCGTTTGATAACGACAAAAAATTTCTATTTCTGAAACAAAAACCCGTTTGATAACAGCACAAAATTTCTATTTCCTGAAACAAAAACCCGTTTGATAAACAACACAAAATTCTATTTCCAGGAACAAAAATCCATTTTTTTAAGAAATGGAATAAAAATAAGGGAAAATTCCAATTGAGGACCCCAAGTGGGGTCCTTTTCTCAAAAGAGGACCCAAAGTGAACATGGTGTCAAATAAGGACTGAAATGCCCAATCGGTCTCAAATAGGGATCCGAAGTACTCAATTTGTCTCGGGTAAGGGCCTGGGTTCGCCGGCCGGTCAAATCTCGCCGGCCGGCGAAGCACAGCGATTCTTGTTCAAGAACCTAACAAGACATTTCATCTCTGTATTTTTTTCTTTTTCTTTTTTTTTTCTCTTCCCTCCGCCGGCCATAGCCGGGGCCGGTGGAGGTCGCTGGCCTCAGGCGGAGGCTGCCCTCGCCCGACGCCGGCGAGGGTCGCCCTCGACTGGGCTGGGCGGGCGAGGGCGACCCTCGCCGGCGGAGGGCGAGGGCTCGAGCTCGCCGTCCATCTGGGCGAGCTCGAGCTCGCCGGCCATCTGGGCGCCGGCAAGCTCTACCCAGATCTGGGCGAGCTCGAGCTCATGCCGGCCCTCGCCATGGCTGTGCGGGCCGGTGAGGGCGGAGCTCGCCCAGATTTGGGCAGAGCTCACCGGCCGAGCTCGCCCAGATGGCCGGCGAGCTCGAGCTCCCGCCGGTCTCAGCGAGCTCGAGCTCGCCGGCCATGGCACCCTCCCCCTCCCCTTCCCGCTCCAAGTTCTCCCCACGGAAGCCCCCGCCGGAGTCCCCGGGCTCCGCCGCCAGCCCCGCCTCGCCCGATACGGCCCTCGACAACCCGGATCTCGGGCCCTTCCTCCTCAAGCTCGCGCACGACACCATCGCCTCCGGCGACGGCTCCGCCAAGGCCCTCGACTACGCGATCGGCGAGGCCGGCCTCCTCGAGCTCGCCCGGATCGGGCGAGCTCGCCATGGCCGGCGAGCTCGAGCTCGCCCAGATCTGGCGGAGCTCGCCGGCGGCTCGCCATGGCCGGCGAGCTCGAGCTCGCCCAGATCTCGGGCGAGCTCGCCGGCCTCGGCTACGGCCGGTCGCCGATTGCTAGACCGGCGACCGGGGAAGAAGAAAAGAAAAGAAAAAAAAAATTGGATAAAATTGCCCATATTCGGTCTTCGGAAATGTCGGACGGTCGTCGGCCCGGAGAAAATTGGCCGTACGGCGAGCTCGAGTCCTTATTTGATACTTAGTTTGGCACTTTGGGTCCTTAATTGATACCTTGTCCACTTGAGGTCCTCTTTTGAAAAAAGGCACCTACTTTGGGTCCTTATTTGATAATTTCCCTAAAAATAATTAGAAAATCCAAAAAATTCCTCAAAATCTCAAAAAAATTCAAAAAATCCAAAAAAAATTGAAAATTCTAGAAAAATTCATCACAATTTCCAAAAAATAAAAAAATTCAGATTTCGGGAAAATAGGAAATTTGTTGAATTTTTTCAAAAAAAATCAAAAAATCAAAAATTTCAAAACTTCATAAAATGGCTTAAAATACCTGTGGCCACCAACTTTTAGTGAAATTTAAATTTTTTTAGGTGCCCAAAAAAATCAAAAATTTCAAAACTTCACAGAATAGTTTAGAATATATGTGGCCACCCACTTTGAGTGAAATTTAAATTTTTTAAGGTGCCTAAAAAAATTCAAAAACTCAAAAATTTCAAAACTTCACAGAATAGCCTAGAATACTTGTGGCCACCCACTTTGAGTGAAATTTTAATTTTTTGAGTTGAAAAAAAAGGAAAAAATCAAAAATTTCAAAACTTCACAGAATGACTTAGAATATCTGTGGCCACCCACTTTGAGTGAAATTTAAATTTTTTTAGGTGTCGAAAAAAAAATAAAAACATAAAAAAAATCAAAAATTTTAAAACTTCATAGAATGACTTAGAATGCCTCTAGCCACCCACTTTGAGTGAAATTTAATTTTTTTAGGTGCCCAAATGGTATTTTTGATTTTTTTTGATTTTTTAATTTTTTTTTCGGCACCTAAAGAAAATTAAATTTCACTCAAAGTGGATGGCCACATGTATTCTAAGCCATTCTGTGAAGTTTTGAAATTTTTGATTTTTTCCTTTTTTTTCTTTTTTTCGGCACCTTTAAAAAATAAAATTTCATTCAAAGTTGGCGGCCACAGGTATTCTAAGTCATTCTGTGAAGTTTTGAAATTTTTGCTTTTTTGCTTATTTTTATTTTTTTCCGGCACCTAAAAAAAATTAAATTTCACTCAAAGTGGGTGGCCACAGGTATTCTAAGCAATTCTGTGAAGTTTTGAAATTTTTTATTCTTTAATTTTTTTGGCACCTAAAAAAATTTAAATTTCACTCAAAATGGATGGCCAAAGGTATTCTAAGCCATTCTGTAAAGTTTTAAAATTTTTGAGTTTTTGAATTTTTTTAGGCACCTTAAAAAATTTAAATTTCACTCAAAGTGGGTGGCCACAGGTATTTTAAGCCATTCTATGAAGTTTTGAAATTTTTTTATTTTTTGCTTATTTTTATTTTTTTGGCATCTAAAAAAAATTAAATTTCGCTCAAAGTGGATGGCCATAGGTATTCTAAGCCAT